ACCTTTGGTGCCCCCTTGTGATAAAATGCTTTCATCAGCAGAATGCATGCAGTTGAAATCCGGGTCTATTTACAGTGAGAAAAGTAGCTTGGCCCTTGAGACACATTCACATTTCAGTTAACTAACTAAGCAAGGCATTTCCTGGAATTAGTTTGTTTTCTTGTTGTCCATTCCTTGTTGTATGATGCTCTCTCTAGGTGATGATAATTATTTAAACTAAAGAAGAAACACCGAACAGGACCTAGATAAACGCTTGCTGGTGCATTCATGTTTGAAGCACAGAACAGTATCCATATCTTACCCTTCACAATGATTTAAAAAAAAAAAAAAAAAAAAAAGGAAGAAAGAAAGCTTATTAAAAAAGCCCATTTAGAATTCAGTCTTGAACCATTTCTTGACAGAAACACCTTCCAAACAGCAAGGCTGAAGAATAACTGTATCTCACCGATAGTTTTTGAACTCCAATAAGTACACAGTGAGGAAAGGGAAACAAGAATCAGGAAGGATGAAAGAATGAGGAATGATGAAAGAACCTGAAACTCCAACACTTTATAGGAGTGTTTTTCTTGTAGAAATTTTGAAAGGTAGGAGAATGTTCTCAACACAACAAATCCTTGTTTGAAAACAAAGCTGTTGTTATTTCTGCAATCTGTGTAGCATCTAATTCATCAGACCATGCACCAGAAAAATATATGGGATTCAAAGCAGAGAAAAAAGTAATTTTGGATCTCAGTGACCAATATATAGACAAGTCATTGAACCCCTTGAGTACTGTCACAATGAAGCAATTCTGTGAGGCATGTTCTTCAGGCTCTGAATAATTTCCTACACTCTAAAGACTTAAAGAACATTAGCATCTGCTCTGTGAACATGAGATTGGAGTCCTCTGTTTATGGAAGAGAAGCACTTTAGGGTGATAATCAATGTTTCTGCTGAAGTAGAAGACCACTGCACAGGTCTAATTCTGCAGTTCCAAATGATAAGCATAGCTTCTAACAAATGTTTTTATCTAGTCTACTAACACTTCTCAGCTAACTACCCACCTTTTGCCAGAAGTTACTATCCCTCTACCACAATAGCTGGTTCTAGTCATGATGCAGTGTTTAAGCTTGAACACTCATAGAAGCAGTTTTTCACAATGGTTCAGGACTGAAGGGGAGCAGCTGAAGTGCACAAATTCCACATCCCATTAGCCAGAAATTGAAGGTGCCCACAGAATTAAGATAATTAATAGATAATTAAGATAATAACTCAGCAGCCCTCACACAAGTGTTTTCAGATTTAGTTCTCAGATGCACAAAAAAATCTCTAAAGAACCATTTTTATATGAAACATCCACTATTCAGCACCAATGCTTATGGATTCATTCAGCACTCCATGTCACTCATATCATCTGCTGAACAGTTGGTATCTCTACTGATCATCCAGTAGCACTCAGCTCAAAAAGGTCTTAAAAACATTTAGGCTTCCAACAAGTTTGTACAGATTCCAACACTGTACAGAGGCTTGTAAAAATGAGTATAGAAGTGTTAACTTTTTTGTAATGAGCATTTCAAAAAAGGCAGAGCTCAGGAAGTCACAGACAGTAAAAGCAAGCTTTGCTTTTGCTTAACTAAAAATAAACAGTTCCCAAAAAGCAGTTAGGTTTTGTTGGGGCATGTGACAAGCAACAACAACCTGCTATAAGTTTTACATCAAAAAAATCCATTAAGATTCACTACAAAGAATTTGCTCTTAAACATGTATTAGAAACACAGAAAACATTAAATCACGACAAGACTGAAGCAGAGAAAAAGTCTGAAGCTTAGTAGTACAAAGTACAAGGTTATATACTTAAGGTTCTGTAAGAATTTATGGAAGAAATTGGGATCTTATCTTTTCAAAATTTGAGAGAGAAGAATGTGGGAGTACTACACCTAGTGACTAAACTGCAAATGTGTTGAAGCCGTATAAAAGAAGTTCTACTCTTGGTATGTGCCAGTATTTCCAAATATTTCTGATAGATCAAGGAAAGCACTGATAATATTCAAGGTTGTGATGAGCTTTTACCTGGAATACTGGCTGTACACACTCAAAGAATAGATTCAAATGGCAACAATGAAGAGTCATTGAAACAATCCAAGGAACAGAAGATGTATCTATAAGATTATATTAAGTTCAGTGTTTTGGTTTTTTTTTGTTTGTTTGTTTTGTTAATGATACAAAGAGTGAGAAGATATTTGTATTACATAGTCACAACATTGGGGAAAAGAGGTGAGTAACAGATGCATCAAACAGCTGTGTTAATGTCAACGTTGAAAAAAGGCAACTGGCTAAGTGACTAGTAGAGCAATCTGGAATAGACCTCCAATATAAAGGTAATTAGATGGGATTCTATCCAGTTTTAAGACAGAGCCTCATGAGTTTACACGAGCTCAGCACTAGACTCCAGGAACCAGGAGTCCCTTTCTAATCTGTTATTCCTGCTTTTCTTCATGTGCCTATGAAAACAAGGAAAAGGAATTAGTTCTTGTATTAAAATTAACCTAAGTAGTCTAAATTACCAAAGGGTACTAATGAATAACCAATATATAGAAAAGGAAAATCTGACAGATGTTGGTGAGTTCCTTAATTTAGTAAACAACTTTTCTTACCATTTTTAGCTAGAGTTAGTGGTAAAACATACTAACGTTCTCTGTGCTATAAACAATTAGAAAAATTTATAACAATTTTCCCCAAATTCCTTGTCACCTAAGAACGAATGATCAGAGGCTTAAAGTCATTTCAATTTCCCTCTCAGAGACCGCTTGAAGTTTATAGCTGCTACTTAAAAAAAAAAAGATTTATGATGTATGACTGTTAAGGCAAGGTCTGTCGGCAGACTAAGGCTATTTCTAAGAAATCTTGTTTAGAATTCAAACCCACAGTTTTGGCTCAAGCCATCACCTTCAGAAATCTAAGCGCATTCCTCGGACATCTTTTTGTAGGCAGTATTGCTCCTCCCACTGGAGAACATGCCTGTCCAAAGGGAAATGTCAATGAAAAAATTCAGCAGCAAATACATGAACCAATACTATATCTATATTTTATTAGGCATTAATTTTAACCTCATTATCCATGTCTTTCAGAGTGAAAGATAATTCATTCCTCCCTTTCCTACAATCTTATTACTATAACAAAAATTCTGCAACCAGAGAATAATCGTAGGCAGAATACTTTAGGAAATTCTCAACTATACTCATCCTACTGCTTCTACTCAAGGAAGAATTTTGCATTCTTTTTCTCTATACTAGAAAGCGGTGCTAGTATGTGACAAACTTTAGTTATTAAAGCTGCAGCAGTACTGAACAAGTATCAGGTCCAGGTCTTCAAAAATTAATTTAGTCAAGTAGGAAAAAAAAGATGTTGGGCATGAATCCCTGGACACCCTCACACTCATGGACCATTTTATTTTATAAAGTTGGAATAACAGCCATACAGAACCAATTTGCCAGCCCTGTTCTTAGTGAATTATTCAGATTTAGTAAAACCAAGCTTTTTGTATGAATTCATATCTCTTAGCAGAATTTTTCCATTAAGTTAAAACATACTTAACAACTGGTTCTTAAGCTCACATACGGCTTTCCATCCAAAGGTGGTTGCTTGAAACAGATGCACCTATTTTAGGTGCACCTAAATACTAATAATAAAATTAATAAAAATATTGATATAAATATAAAATATAAATAGTAAATAATACTAAATAAATTTCTCAAATACTTTGAGAAATATTGCTAAAGTAATTAACACGAGACTTGCTCTCTTCCCGTATTTCCAAATTAGGCTAAAATACTGCATATCAGAACAGTGAGTTAAATCATCTCAGCATCTGTGATAAATCTCCCACTAATTTCAAGGATGCATTTAAGGCTTTTTTTTTTTTTTTTTTTTTAAATGTTAGAGGCAGGGTAAATTGATATTTAGCAAAGGCAAAATGCAGCAATGGGTATAGCACACTGGCATGGTTTGATATGCTGTACTTATTCTGCAGTGCAGCTACTACCATCCCCTATTTTATTTGATAGTTTGATTTGATAACAACTATCAAACGTTAAGCCAAATGAAGTTATTGCAAAGTTACAAATTACATGTAATCAGAATCTTGCATGATACAACTTTCTACACAGGAAGTTCTGCTTCATCCTGTGAATGTAAACTTTCATTGAAACTACTAACTATCTATTTTAGAAGTGTTTATTTTGTACCTAAAAATTAAAAAAGAACCAATACAATTAGCTTTCAAATTAACTTTCAACTAGACCTTGAACACAAAGTTAAAAACAAAAAATGCAAATATTAAATCAAATAACTTAGCTATTTTCCCCATTTGCCATCACCTTCTTTGTAATTATTTTAAATTCTTCCTAAATCAAAACTATGTATACAGGTAACCCTAAGTTTCCTGGCTTGCCCCAGAATCCTTCCCCTGAGTTATCCCCCTCAGAAGAGACTTTATGTAGTCTCCTCTTTCAGTCTTCCAGTTCAAGAGCCACCAATCTAACCCTAGACAAGAATAACGTAAAGGCTTAACAGAATGCAAATGAGCATGGAATTAAATTGTTGATAATTAAATTAACACAGTAAACATGATTTCCTGTCAGATGCTCAAGTTGATCCCTTCTTTAATGTTGTTATGCTTGGTTAATAAGGTTAGTACTAAAACTATGACATTTTACTTACCGTATTTTACCTCCTCCTTACAAATGCTGTGTGGAACTGCTGTCTGGAACTACTAGCAGTATCCCCAAAATCAAATATGCTACAAGGACTAACCAAATTACAACAGTTAGAAATGAGAAATAGGAAATTAGGTTGCTAGAACATCTTGAACTGAATTATCTCAGTTCATTTCTCTTAAATATCCACAGATGGTGTGGAAGGGGAAAAATCACCTGAAGTTCCAATTCATGTTTTTTAGACTATAAAAGTAACAGATATGTGAATAAATAAATATGAAGACAAGCGAACATACAGGTTATAACTTAGTTGAAAGCTCATTTTATCAAGATGCTTTTTTAATACAGCCTAGAGCTAAGGCTTACCTACAAGTACACAGAGTAAAATTACAAAGTCACAAACAAAACACAAGACAAAAAAAGGGAGGCTGGGGGGCAGGGAAAAGCTGACTATAAACACTCTACAAGATGTTTGTGACAAAAAAACTCCTTGAAATGGCAAGTAGAAAAATGACAATTTGAGATGTAAATTGACATTATATCTTCATGCAGTAAGTACTGTGTTGTCTGTATTTCAAGTTGTTTAACATTACTAGGGCAAACATGAAATTCACTTAATCTGGGAGACAGATTGAGTTATTTTTCTGCAGATGGTCAGTATATTTTGCTCAAGTGCTAGATCAGTAAATTTCCTTTAAGTCTACAGATGGAGAAAGGAATATTTCTGTCCTTGAACTCAAGGAAAAAGTATGAAAATGACCCAGTATCTGGGAGCTAAATTTAAGTCTAAGTATACAGCACAAGTTCACATCAAAAGAGTAACACAACAGCTTATTTAGATACATATTATGTCACTTGAAGTTTTCAAGAGAGAAAAATGCCATGAAAACCAGTATAACCAAACAGAGCATCACCTTGATTTAAGATTCCTCTTCTATTGACTTGCACTATAGAGATTAAAAACAACAGAATCATTATTCTAATTATTCAGATATAAAACGCAGACAACGAATAATTTGCTTGTGAGGTATCACCATTTATAAAAGGTAGAAGTATCTCTTGCATGTGTACTTAAGGTCCAACTTTAACAGATTTTTTTTTAAAGATTTACTGTAAATTGAAGTGAACAATAAATAAATTCCCAAATTAAAAAAAAAAATGTTTTTCTTTAATTTGTCATTAAGACAAGAATCACATTTTTAAACACCTATGAGATGCTGTAAGCTAGATATTGAAGACTACATTTAAGATACTTTATTGAATACTTAAGATGTTAGTAAGTGCCTAACTACTACATGACAGGTAAAAGAATACATAAAATGTTTTAAAATACTCACTTTTTTCATAACCATAAAACATACTGAACAATTAAGATGCATACATGAGAAATTATCTTGATAAATCAGCAAAAACACATCAAATTAGACTTTTCAAAATGTGCATACTTAAGAATACGAACAAGACTGGGAATTCAGGAGAAGGTAGAAAGGAATCAAGTGTAAGGACTTACATGCCTTACAAATTTAAAGTCTTTTTAAATTTCTTTTGCTTTGGGCACTTCCTGGAGGAGCATCTTCTTTGTTCTTCCGTTTTGCAGATAAACTATTACATTCTTTTGACCCATGGAAAGAATGCAGACATAAAATACAGAACTCAAATGCACAGGCCTCTCTGCTACATAGCCCCCGTTTCTTTACCAATTGATATTTTGCAGGATATTGACATCTTGGACAAGGTTTCAGAGCTTCATCGGTGAACAGAGTTTTAGCAGCCTACAGCAAGAGGAAGGAGACAAGAGATACTTAGTTCTTGTAATTTAGAGTTTTCCAAAACCCCAAAATTAAGAGTGTGTTAGAAACCTACTTTTATGTATTCTTCCTGTCTACTAGTTAACTGGGGAACAGAATTACATCTCCTGGGAGTAACTTCAATGCGAGAAGGCGGTGTTTGTACAGGAGTTCTGGCTTGAGCCTGAACAGGCCTTAGAGCAGATCTGTTGAGAACATTAAGTCTTGTGGCAGCATCTTCAGCTTTCAATAAATATTCCTGTTACGATTGATAATTATAAGAAAGAAGAAAGAAAAAGAAAAGGAGGCATATCAGGGTTTTATTTAATTTAGAATTTGCAACTGTGTTTTGCTTCATATTTTAAGTTTTCCCCTGCAACAATACATTAAATATTAAAGTGATGTATAGTGCCTGTATTTCCCATTAGAAGTTTGTATTTAGTAAGGGGACAAGATAGGAACCATTAAAAACAAAGCCCCATGAGCAGGTAAAGAAGACAGTCTTTAGCACTTGGTTACTCACTACTGATCCTCATATTTCTGAAGCAGGATACCTCTCAATATCAAGCATTAAGTGGTCAAACAGTTTTGTCACAGTTAAAGCAAGGTTACCCTGACGTGTTTTGTGTACACGTGGAGGATCTCTTAAAAAAGCACTCCTGTTAATAATATGCTACTTTTTCAAGAAAATCCTTAAAAACAAATGATCTATATGCCCATCTGATGCTCAGAAGTACACCACAAAGAAGCTCAGCAACAAGCAGTACTGAAAACATTTGGTAAGTAGCCCAGAGTGGGTTCTAATGTACTACAGTGAAATGGGAAATGAGCAACAGCATGACACAAAGGTATAAACAGAGTTTAAGATCCAAAGCCAGAATCAATTGAGGAAGAGATCCTCAGGATTTGGGGGAAGGGGAAATCACATGATTGAAAGACTGCTACTCAAACTGGGGCCAGATGAAAAAGAAGAAATAAAAGCAATGACAATCTCATGTCAGAATCTTTTACATACCCTAGTTAGAACTGTTGCTATCAGCTACCTTTCTATAGTTTTGCAAGATCTTTACTCTTTCCTCTGGCCTGCATTTGTTCACACATGAAAAATATTACCTTTGAGACAAGCCTTACCCCAGCTTCTTCCTTCAGCTGCTTTATGTACAACTTTCTCCTCTTATCTGCACTTTTATCTTGTACAATGATTTCACGCCAGTTTTTGCTTACTTTCCAAATGCTGGAACAAATGAATTTAAAAAATTATCCACTTTCACAGGGTAGCACAGAAGCCATAACAGTAGAATTACCTTTTTCAGATTTTTTTTTTTTGCATGATTTCACATACTATTTTGGTCATTTTACAGACTATTGCTATATATTAGCAGAGTTCACTGTACTGTCATGAAACAAACTTAATGTATTCCACACCATTGTTCAGAAATACATAGACAAATCTAGTGAATATAAATAACAATATAAATAACACAACATATCTTTGGCTTACAAAATCAGATGTTTCTTCTCTACACATAAGACACTTTGTTTTATTCTTGAAGTCACATTTTTATGTATTAAGTCCTCTAAAAATCTGTGCCATTATACTTCTACACATTCCCTTTGTAACTAGTAACACATGGCACTTTTGGTTCCTTTGAAGTAAGTGACAATTTCTGTTGATTTCAAGTGAATCCAGAACTTTATCCATGAGGCAATGTTCTTTGAGCATTTTTGTCTTTGTGCTTAGAAGTGACTGAGGAAATCAAATACGCAAGGAAAAATCTAGAAAACATGTTCTGAGTTCCATTCATTATTAAGAAACCTCTAATGAGAAGAACTGACTTCCCAGATTCTAAAAGAAATGGTAATGTGTTAAAATTTACAAGTACTATAATAGTTTTAAGTTTGTCAATCCCCTCCTTTTTCCCCCCCAACTTCTCCCTCAAATGTATTTTTAGAGCAACATAGAAAGAACTGCTTGATTGCCCCAGTGACAAATCCCTTCTAATTTCCTTAAATTAAGGAAAAATATATTGACAATCCCAATTATTCCAAAAATTTTTCTAGTTTATCATCAGAAACACATTTTCAACATTTTGAGATGTGGGCGCGGGGAGTAGGAACAGCAGTAGTACCTACCTGCAGAGACTTTCCACTGTCAAAGCATCTAAAACTATAGCAAGAACATGTTTTAAATTTCTGTATTTTAATTCTGTTAAAATATCTAATTTTTCAAGGCCCATTTTCTTGCCAATAAGTCCAGAAATAATGTGTTCTAAGGCAAATATTTCTGTTCCATTAACATTCTTTGATACTTGATTTTGGTCTGATCTTTGTCTTTGCAAGCAAATTTCATGGACTACTTGCAGAGCTGGAGTTCTGGAGAGATCTGTATAATTTACAATTAAGTCTTCACTTGTCTGTTCTTTTAGAACTACTCCGTGGTCTTCAGTGACATTTCTTTCTTCTGTTAGCATATATTCTGAATTAGAAGGACTGCCATAATGATCTTCTGTCTCTGACTGCGAGCCCTGTTCCCGAAGAGTGGATAACCTTCTAACTCGCTCAAGCTTTCTTGCTTTTCTTTTACTGCCTGGAATTTTGGAATCTTCCTTATGTTTTTGACATGACTCTTGGAAAGAACCCTCATAATCAGACGATAAGTCTCCTGATTTGTCTAGTTGAAGTGAATTATATCCGCTGTCCTCAGGTGTTGAAAGACTTGGGTAACTGGCCAGTTTAACAGGGGGAGTGTTTCTATTACACAGCTCAAAGTTAAAGTTCTCTACAAGCCTATCAACAGTAGTCAGTAACTTATTCTCATTGGCCTCAGGTAACGCACTGTAAGTAGGGGTCTGAAGCAACCCCTCATTAACACTCTCACCAAATTCACTAGCGTTACTAACACAAGCATCCTTACACTGAATTGGTGATAAACATTCTGTTTCTAGTGATAAGGGGTCCTTACTTTTGGTCTCATCTAGCGTAGAACTCCTTTGTTGAGAAAATGACAGTCTCCGTTTTGGGACATTAGGACTAGAGTCCTCTATTTTTGAAGTGCTAATTGTCAGGTGTTTGCAACTGTTTTCTTTTGAAGAACCTGAAGCAATTTGTGAAGGTTTTTCTTCAGAGCTTGAAACACAAGAGAGTAGTTTTTTCCTACTGCTTCCTGAAGGGCTAGCTTGTCTTTCACAGGATCCCGCAGGTGTGCCAGCTGGAGCAGCCTTGGATAAAAGCAGTCTCCTGCGTAGCAAGAAGCCTTTTCTACTCGCTTTAGGAGTTTCAAAAATGTCTGTACTTCTATTTGCTTCTCTTCTTTCTGATAAGGAGATAGAATTCATTTCTTTTTCAATAGATGATGACACAGACCAGAGGGTGTTTGTGCGAATATGGTCAGAATGCTCTTGTAGAGAAGATAAACTTGTTGTACTCGGTGTTTCTTTATGTTCTGCTTCAGGATCATTATCCAGAAACACTGAAGGGGAACGGGTGTCTTTAAAATCAGAGTATCTAAAACTGCTGCTGGGAGATGTTAGCCTATTTCTTTTCAGAATATTGAATGTTATTGAGTGACTGTCTGACATCTTCTGATTGGGACTTTGGCTCTGTGAATAAAGATACCAGTGTTATTTCTGAAACAAACAATAGAAGTAGTCACCAAAAGACACCTGGAACAGTGAAAAAGCCTTCAATAAATCTACCAAGATAGAGACTTTAAAATAATTTTCATTAGGCTTAATAGAAACAGTGCTTAAACATGATCACAATGGTAAAGTGCAACCAAATAGGTTGTTAGAATGAGCTAATAAAATGCATGCTATATCATAAGCAAGGGAAATTAAAATTTCTTTTCAGTTAGCTGATTAATCTGATAATGTTCACACAATGAAAAACCTTCAAATAAGCAACACAGCAATGAGAGTCCCATTTACACTGAAGTCAGAGACAGAACTCCCCCTCATACCAGTAGGGTCAGGGTACTGTTTTTTTTGGTTGTTGTTTTTTTGTTTTAAATAATTACTTTTAAAAAAATCGTTGTTGTGCTATTGATACATGCAATCACTAACAGTTTAGTCCTCAAGAAATAGTGGAAAGTCTGATAACAGATTAATTAACGAAAACTTGCCTTTTGTCTAAAGAAAAAAAGAGAGGATCGATCATGAAATGACAAGTCTACAGGTCTCCCTATTATTTAGATCCTACAGTCCCTGGATGGAATAAAGTTGTTCCTCCAGTTACATATCAACTACTGCATTCTCATCTTCCTTAACATGCAAATGTTACTTTGTAAATAAGGTATCTGCTTGTGCACTGTTCTGTGGATAAACTAAGTGTTCAGAAGATTTAAACTTTAAAGAAACTAATGGATTGGCCATACACCCTCTCATCACACACAAACTTTCTACATTAAATTCAGTAAATACAAAAGCTTTAAGTTTTCCCCTCAAAACTACAAAGAGCTGATACACCCATATAAGTAAACAGACAATGATTTTTGCCATTCAAACATGCCATTTCTCCACCCTACCCCAAATGGCAATAGGTTACTTCTTTATGCACACAAAAAGTAACCAAAAAGATGTGAATAATACCAGAGTGAGGGTTGTTCTCTCAGAAACCATAGTAGTTCACATCAACATCCAAGGACCCTCAAAGTCTGAATTATCAGCTTTTAGTAAGGCACGTTGAGACCAGACAAAAATTGGAACATTTATCGGTGGCTTAAACACCAAACATTAAGACATCATTAATAACCCAACAGTACTGACCTAGACAGGTCCTGGGCTACCAGATACAAGCAATGGGAACCTGAACTGCTGGGGAGGAGATGATCTCAGGTCATTTAATTAATATTTTTTTGACCTATGATGAAGGCACGCTGTAAGATCTTTGTGATATACAAAGTTGTTTGGTTTTTGTTTTTTTTTTTTTTGCTGTCTACAGCAAGCAAATCGCAACGTAGACAAATTCAGAGGAACAGGATATTCAACAGATTAGAATTCACCTTAAGGGTTTGTGGAACCATGCTGAGGTCAGTATGAAATCAAACAGATTTAAAACAAAAAATAAAGCATGTAATTGAGAAGAACTCTTCAAGGAAAGTAACCTGGCCTGCTTCCTTTCCCTCTCCCATTTACCTCCACAAGTACCTTATTTTCACATTATTATAGTAGCTTACTTCTGTAAGTGTTTTCCCTGCCTTTTTCCTCATTCACTCTTTTAGTTTGGTGAATTAAGAGGCATTGCAAATAGGACACATGAGGGGTATTGCTTTAGGCTAGTTATTACATGAATTAGGGATAACTTTAGTGATAGTGCAGGACCAACTCCACGTAGTGTCTAGCATTTCACCGGCATAGCTTTTCAACATCATAAGTAATAGGCTGAAAATGCCGTAAAACAAACTGAAAGACAATATTAAAAAAAAAAAAAAGTAGAAGAGATATGAAAAGTCTCTTTTCACCACTGCTCTTCATCTGATTATTCACAAGGAAGAGCTATAAGACACCAGTACTAAAAACATGGCATGATCTTTTTGTAAAATACAAAAAGAGTAGAGGCCTCACTTTCCATGAGGAATTTTGGTGAACCACAGTTAGTTAACAAATGTGACCAAGAGATTTTCCTACCAAAAATACTGATGGACAGATTTAAGTTTTGAACATTGTTTAGAGACAGATGCTCAAGTTTTCAATGCCACCAAAAAGAAACACACCACACTTACCTTTAAAAACATTAACATTTTCTTTAGGCAGTCTAACTATACATGCATTTAACAAAAATGTATGGGCCTGCAGGTTTGCAAACTTAATGTTCAGACAGCGAGATGAAGAAATAACAGAAGGGAAATGCACACTTGCAGTTTTGTTCTCAGACATTCCAAGGGAGAAAGTATGTAATCTTATGAACAGTTGAGAGTAGAGTATATCTGAAATATTACAACTTAAAACACAAGCGAGTTGAAATAAATACTTTAAAATAGAATAAAAATCACCGGGGGGGAAGTTTCTACAGTTGTAGGAGAGGTCAGAATGGCACATTTAAAGGAAAAGCCGCGCTGCAACCTTAAGCAGCAGCCAAAAATACGCTGTCAGTATGCCAACGTCCAGCAGGAGACGCTTGTGAGCTTCCTATATTGAAGGCGTGAAACCTCTGAAAATGTTTAGGGAAGACCCTTAGAATTTAATTCTTTACGATAGATCCCAGTATACACCTTAATTTTGCATAAATACTCTTTTCCAAGCATGTTACTCTTGAAAGTTAAGATTTAATTAAACACAATGTCTCATTTTACAAAAAAAAAAAAAAAAAAAGTGAAAGGGAAAGCCTTTCATAGCTGCTGATCATACCTCATAACACAGTGAGATGCTATTTACACTCATAAGAGGTACCTAGCAAAACTTTCAGAGGCTTGTTTAGTGCTTTATAAGCACTTTCTCTTCTTATCGGGAGAGACATTTGAGCTACTCGTTTTGATACGTAATATCAAGCCCTTTTCATTTGAGGATCTTGAAATAATTTTATGAAAGTATTCTTACCCTTATTTTAGGCATCAGGAAATAGACACATCAGGAAAAAAAATACTAGTCACATTTCAAGTCTGTTACAGAGAGAGGAATAAAATGCATATCTGCTAAGTGTAGTTTCTTGTTCTCCATCCATTCCTCTGGTATCTATTATTAATTCTGTAGTCCTCAAATCCAGAAGTCATCAGCAAACTTCACAGCAGTTTACAGAATAAGTTACTTCATGCTCAGAAACCCAAATTAAATTACAGACAGGATTACTTAGACCTGGAATTAAATCTGCTAAATCTAGGCTTCATAAAGCATCCTAAGGGGGGAAAAAACGTTTGATACTAGAAGACCGTGTAAGTAATACCCATAACATAGACGTGAGTTCCAAGAGGGAATTACACCTGTTCTAGATGCTAATTTACATTCCTTAGTAATAGACGCTGAACACTTTTGTTTCTAACAAGATGCTTTCTGTCCTTATTTGTCACTGATCGTCACGTTAACAAAAACAGATAAAAATAGAAAGTTTTGGTGGTACAAGACTGCTTTCTGAGCTTTTTAAATAAAGATAATATCTGCAAGAAAAGTGGTTTTTATCCGAAAGCTGCTCTTCGAGCTCCCAGATCTAAACCCAGAGAAGCTGTCAATACCATAGCATAGCTCAGTCCTGTGTGTGAGATGGGGGTAACTTACCCTAATTTGCGAAGCAATTTGAGCTCTTCCAAAGCAAAGGTACAGTATTCGAAGCACAATTTACCCCTACCGACAACCTAAAGCGGGGAAGGGCGTGGGTAGAAGAGAGAGTTACAAGAGCAACGTTACCCAGTAGCTTGGTGACAGCTGAGAGAGTTTACATAGATGCTTTCACTGTAACGCCTAATTACCCAGCGAGGAAGACAACTGACGGCTACTTAGCGCTCGGGGGCCTCTCGGTCACCTGCAATGCCGGACACGAGCAAAGCAACAGCTTCACCCCCTCACGGGGCAAACCGCCGGGCAGAGGCCGGCGGGGCTCCCTGAGGGGAAGGCGAAGGCGACGCCCAACCTCGCCCCGGGCTTTCTGGCTGGAGAAGGCGGGGATCCTGCCGCCTCAGCGGCTCGCCGCCCGGCTCCGGAGCCCGTTGCCCTTGGCGAGGAGCCGCTGTGGGTGGAGGGAAGCCAAGCGGCTCCTCGCGTGCAGCCACCGCCGCTGCTTTCCCTCGCTTGGGTTTGAACCGCCCGCCTTTACCAACCGCCTCGGAGCGGGGGCCTGAGGAGAGCCCGCTCCGCGGCGTGAGGCTCGCCTTTCCCCTCACGTTTACACCTCAACGCCGCACCCAGCCCACCATAGGATCGCCCCAATAGTGTGGCTCTCTCCCTCAGCTCCCCCGACCCTTTCTGCCTCTCCTCAGGAGATGCTGGGGGCGAGGCGTTCCCGCCTCTGCCAGAGCCCTTCGGCTTCTCCTCAGGAGAGGAGTGGGGGGGTGAGGGTGAAGAGAGCCCTTCACAGGCGCTGGTCAGTCACGGCCAGCCTTTCACAGATGCAGAACGTTATCTCCACCCTCACCTTTAAGCTTGACTTGTAAGGGTGCCAATTAGTTCACATTAATTAGCGCGTCTGTACCGGCGGCTCGGGAACGAGATAATCACGGAGCGTTTGCCTCGGTTAAATCACCTGTCAGTCGGGTGGGAGATGACAGTGATGACGCCTAGGTTTTGTCGTGTTTTTACTGAAACTGTACAATAAAAAACGAGTAATTGGGTGCCTGCGTTTCCTGAGCTCGGTGCGGCTGTACACACACCCACACAGCTGGGGGCTCCACAGCGGGCGGGGGGAGCCGCAGGCCTCTCAGCAGCGAGGAAAAGGAGCGGGGAAAGCCGCTGCTGGCCACACAGAGGCCGAATAAATTGTTATTGTGTCCTCCTCCTTCTGGGTATCATTCTCCCTCACCCCGTTGAGAAGAGATTTACCACAGGTTACCTCTGATTTTTCTGTTTCTTCCCCCTGTTTATGTTTTATTTCCTCCACCAGAAACGACATCAGATGAGAAAGAGATTTTATACTGTTGTGCGTGACTAAGAGTAATGCCTACATCCAAAGCAGCAAACTAGAAGCTTTCTAAATTAACGCCGAAATTCAGCCGTACTTGTTCGTGGGCTGGGCGGGCTCTGCCCCGCCGCTCGGAGCCCGTTCAGGCGGCGGCGAAGCCTCGCAGCCAAAGGGAGCCCGAAGAAAGGCGAATTTAAAAATTGCCCATCCAAAGCGGGGGAAATGGGGATATTTCTATATAAAGAGTATGGTTTTATGTGGCTAAAAGGTAACCGTTACGGATAAAAAGAGAAAGGGAGAAATATGCCAGAGGCTTCCATTTTAGAGGGAGAAATTAATAGAAACTGATTGAAGAGGAATTGATTTCCCCAAGGGTTTCGTGTAGTAATATCTATTTCACGTGTATCAGGAGAATTTCTTTCTCTAATAGTTGTGTTTATCTATAGAAAAAAAATGCTTTTTTTCTGTGAAAGGGGCAGCTTGCTGTGGTGAAAAACCTCCAGGGAATTTAACAAATTATAGTTACAGTGTTTAATGCGACATTCAGCAACATCACACCAAACAGTGCCATTTAACAAAATGTGGCACATGCGGGCAGTAAAAGCCTGAGAACGTAAATTTTAAAACGAAATAATGCGAGAGAGCCCGCGATACCCTGACGGGCAGGCTACGAGCGCCTTGCCTTCCCCCGAGCACTCTGTGCACCTCAACCCGCAGCCACGAACCCTTCCTCTGACTGCCGACCACTGTTACTCCCTCGGAGTTTTTTCCTCTATGGGGACAGCAGACATGTCCCATATGCTCCCAGCCCTCGGAACACCCTCGGAATGGCGTTTATCAGCCCTTCAAAGCGGGGCTCTATCGCGACAGCGCTGCTCTTGGAGCGCTGCTCTTGGCTTTGACAGAAACGGAGCAAGGAAATGAGGCACCTGATAAAACCTTTTTTTTTCCCCGAGGGAACAGTTAAACGATAGCAACAATCAAGCAATTGCGTGATTTCTTTGAGACTTTGTTTTCACATAATTAACTTTAGTTGACTTTTTCATAGCGCTAGAATTAGTAAACCGGTTTTACAGTATCGATAAATCCGTCAAAAAAAAAAAAAAAAAAAAAAAAGAGTCCAGGGAAATCGGTTGATGATTGATTTTTATTTGTTTACTTCTGGGATGTTAATTACTTGATATGCATTACCAGGTGAAGCTATGAGGCTTTATTTTCTCCTCTGCTTAAAGCTCTTCGCACCAGCTCACGCTTAGGAAAACCGTGGCGAAGAGGACACGGGCAGTAAATTTGGGGGAGTGCTAATCAGGACGAATAGCACTGCCTTTCACCTGTCGTTCCGCTTGTATGTGTTTTATTCTAGCACCCAGAAGTTATATTTAGCTTTATTTAAACACAGCAGCATGGGAAAACAGGAGAGCTGTCTAAAATCTTGAACGTATTTTTATTACGTGTAACTTAAATACAAAATTAGGAAACCCGCCAATATTTATTGTTCCTCAAGTTAATTTTAGGTAAACTACAGGGTAACATATGAAGGTGATTTGCTACTATGAGAGCATCAGTAAGTTATAACTGGTAAACTCGTGTGGTATCAACCCATTTTGTTCCTCAGGAAACAATTTTTATTCAGTATTCGGAAAGAGTCTTTACTTTTTTCAGTATTGAGAAATAGCATTTTATTCATCATTCAGAAACATTTCCTTAAACAAGGGAGTCTCCTGAATGATGAAGTCATTAAATCAGAATATTTACGAAACAGTATTTGTTAAACGATTTCCAGAGGTGAAATTCTTGTGAAATTGAGTAAAGAAAACAGTCTACAAAATGCCTACTGAACATTTGTCATTTACACCAGCATGGACTAAGAAAGTACCTGGTATTGTTTCGTATTTTGGCTGTGCTATTTTGGTTCAGTATGCTGGAATATTTCGGCTCAGGATGCTGGAATCACCGAAATTTGAACCTCTTCCATAACACGATCCTGCAATTAAAATGTATAGCATCATAAATTGTAAATTTTGTTTAAAGAAGGAATACACGCAGCAAGGTACCAAATTTAGCTTTATCCGAGGACCTGAACGTGCTTCTGAAAACAACAAGGGCCGTGAGGTGAGACACCGCAGCGGCTTCAAACTCTGCGGTGGCACGACGCGAGCTGCAGCAGGATTTTTGGCTGAGTCTGCGCAGACAGAGGCCGGGGACAGACAACTAAAAAATATTTTGACCCAAAGCACTGAGGCCTCGGGACGGGCGCGGAGGAGCCCCCTCAGGTTCCCTCAGCAGGCGCCGGGCTCGCTCCGGCCACCCGGCGGCGCTCCCGGGCCGCCCGCTCTGAGGGGAGGCGGCGCCGCGCCGTCATCAGCCGGCGCCGAGAGGCCGAGAAGCGCCGCGGTTCCCTTCGTGGTTGGGGTGAGCGGGGAGGATTCCTTAAAATCCCTGTGGGGTTCAAGAGGGTGTTTATGGGGCTGCGAGGAGGGCAGCCTGCCCTCAGCGAGACACTAAGGAACGCGTTTGTTTCTCCCGCAGGTACGCCTGGAGGGCTCGGGGACTGTGACTGGAGCTCCGCGTCCTCGTGGTGAGTTGTGGTGTGCCCCGTAATGCTCGGAGCACGCAGGTCTGTCTGTGTGCCTTCTGGCTGTGCCAGCTTGTGCTTTAGCTGCTGGGGGTGTGAACGCTAGCGAAATGGTGATGCTACCCTGCAAAATGCAGAGCTGTAGTTCGCTGCTGTCTCCTGCAGCTCTGTTGTTGTGCTGCATGGCCAGCACTGCCTCCAGTAAGCTGTAACTGTGGCAGTTCAGCCTGCAGATGTAACTGTGGTAGTTGGGCCTCCTTAGTCTGGCTCACATTGAAGGTACTGCTCTTCTCAAGTGCCGAGGGATGACTGCCAATCCCTGACTATATATAGCTTGTGACACAATAAGACTATAATATGTGTGTTTTAAAGTGCCACTGTGATAACAGTAGAGCAAAACCGTACTTAAAAGCTGTAGAGTTTAACTAATTCAGTTACCCAGAATGGAACAGCATAGCGTTTGGTTGTTTTTTTTTTTTAATGAGGGGGTTTGGTACCTGTTGATCAGACTCCTTTAAGCAAAAGATAAACTGTTTATGTCAAGCCTGTGCTTCTATCCTTAAGCCCCAAATGCATTTATACTGGAAGAAACGGAAGATCAGGGAAATATACCAGGGAATTAAGTGGAAGTGTCCAGGACTCATGCTCATGAGGAAGCATTGTGAAAGTCATTTAATGACATAATAGCTGGGAGTTCCTATCCTCTATGTCAATGGGCTCAGAAACAACAACCTCAAAAACTTGCAAAGAGATATTCATCTTCTATCTTAGTCTAGGTGGGAGAAAAAGTATTTGCTATCTCTGTTGTAACAACCTTGATGCTTGCAAACATATTTATGTGGAATTACTTAAAACTCCATTAAATGTTTGTGGAGTAGACATAACTGTTGTCTGATAACGTGAAGGAATACTTGCATCCAAATAAGCGTGAACAACTTAAACCATTACAATAGAGCACTAAGAGATGCTTGAAAGTATAGAGACCTATCTTGGGGTTTTGAGGGTGGAATTTATTCTATATGGCCCCTCTTTATTTATGTAAACGCCTATTAATGTCTTGCCTACAGTCTGTTCCCAGGATTTATAATCCGTAAAATTAAAATTAGGTTAGCTAGTGTTGTTGCCTTTTTTCTGCTCTCCAACAGGATTTATCTTGTTCATGATAGTGTGGTTGTTAAATGAATGGTACATGAATTGTTTTATTTTTCTAGTTTCCATCAAGTTTGAAGGGAGGAAAGAAAATAATATTTATTTACCTTTTGTGTTTAAAATTATCTTTAATACAAAATGATGTATAGATTACATTTTTGGAGTTTTTTTTCAACAGCCAGTTGGTGAAGCTCAGTGCAACCTAATCACACTATTTTGAGAAGGCAGTTGGACCAGATAAGTTTCTGAAGTCTCTTTCAATGAGTTCTTCCTATGTTGGTGTGTGTCAAATACATATGGAATTTATATTTACTTTGAGGAAGTTTTTCATATTCTGCTGACTTTTGATGGAGATGTTTCAATATTTGTGTATGCATCTTAAAAAAAACTGTGTATATTTTGTTTTTTTTTTATGTAGAACATGGATTCACAGAAGGATGTTCAGCCTCCAAAGCAGCAGCCAATGATTTACATTTGTGGAGGTAAAAAAAAGACATTAGTGATTTTTTTTCTGTGTTACTGGAGATCTGATATTCTTATAATGAAGAATGCATCATCATAGTACTGAAGAAATGAAAATAGCATTGTCAATCCTGATGATCTTTTAAATTTTACTCACTGATGCTACCACGTATATGGTAACATAGTAATAATACATACAGACAGTGATATGGCAGTAATTTGTTAGAGCTTCTGTTGCTGCATGGAAGTCTGCATCTCCAGTGGACAATACTTCTGCATCTCCACAGGACAGACTTCTGTTTACTGCGTTTTTGGGGAAGGATTTTCTGCAAATAATTGGTCACTCAGCTTTTACTAAAGTGTAATAGTCAATTTAATAGTCAATTTTTCTTTCACCTTATAATGTAAACATTGGAGATTGAGTGCTTAAGAGTCAAAGTGTTTTGGAGACTTAAGAAAATAAACTTGGGAGGCTGGGGTGGAGGCATGGGGGAGCCTGAGGTGAAGTTTTTATGAGTAGACAGTCAACTGTACAGAACACGTACCATACCACTAATGATTTGGTGATTTCTAGCAAGGTCCTCTTTGATATTTAAAGAGTGAAGTTTGCCAATCTTTTTTTTTTTTTTTTTCTGTACAGAATCTTAGTATCATTCAGTTCTTTACACAAATACATTACAAATTATTTTGTGAATTATGTTGTGTTTTTTTTTTTCCACAAATAAGAAGTAAGACTTCTGAAAGTTGTCTATGCATTAACAATGCTGTTTTTTACTCACTCTCATTATCTTCCTCTGTCACATCAGAATGCCATACAGAAAATGAAATAAAGGCAAGAGATCCTATCAGATGCCGAGAATGCGGGTACAGAATAATGTACAAGAAAAGGACAAAAAGATGTATCCTTTTACAAAGGCACGTGAATGCACTTGGGGAAGCTGTGAGTGGGGATAAGGCGTCTAATGTAAACAAAACGGAAAATGTGAGTAATTGTGCAAGAATCCTTCAAAGCCAAAAAATCAATACAGTAGAGCAAACTATAGAGACATCTTTGCTGTGTAACTGTGGACCTTGTTTCCCGGTACATTGTCTCATTTTCCATTTTCTATGAAAACTGTAATAATCCACAAAAGTCTTGTGGGTGACGTACAGGGTATGGCTGGCATAAAAGGCATGCAGCCTTTTAAAGAAAGGAAAGTGTTGTGGGGTTAATTAAAAAAGAGTTCTAAATGCTTTTGTATTTTGACTTTAGATTTGGGTAGTCTTCCCTCACTGCCTGTTTTTCTCTCCCTGATCTTTCTCTTTTTTTTTTTTTTTTTTAATTCCCAAACAACACATTTTTCTTTAACTGCACCATTCCAGTGGTGGTTTTTGATGCCCGGTGATGTGAGCTGAAGATATATTGATTATTATGCTGCAGTTTATTATTTCTGACTTTGTTCTGTAAATCTATTAGTGTACAAATGCATATTTTTCTTTTAAGATATTAAAATATTAAACTTCAGTCTTTTTTTGTCTGTATTACTACAGGTTTCTAAAACTGTGACTTAAATTTTAGTCATAGTATGTAGAAGTCTGTTAAATTCATTGATATTGTATTTGGTTTTGAGTTCATCTTGTTTTCATGACTCTCGTCTAAACCTTACTTGCATCGTAACTTTATTAAATGCTCTTTGGACTCCTATGAGCTGCATAAAAGTTTGGTTTGAATAAATTCCCATGGAAAAAAATTGAAAGATACACAAAGTTAGGTCTGAAACACAGATTTGGATTTCAAAAGAGCAAGTATCAACGAACTTGAGAGCATCCAATTCGGGATAAAAATTACAAAGCATGTGTAAATAAATTTCCAACCAATGTGACTTGGTTGTACTCAAGAAAAGGAGGATTATAGTTTAAGGACACCTTGGGTAAGGGTCCCATAGCTAAAATAATACCATTTTGCTTTTCAGATGACTTTTTGTGAGTCTGTAATAAAAAGTGCTTGTTTTGTATTTATGAGCCAGAACTCTGCATCTGTTTGACTGTTCAGAAAATGTTAAGTAATACTAAAGTACCTTATTACTAAAGTGTATTTTAAAATACTGCTGGATTGTGTCTGATACTAATGTATCCTACTTACACGGTAGGGTCAGTTATTGTTTTGATAATAGTGCCAATGATGCTTTTAATAATGACATAACGCTTAACGTTTTATCAATATAGTAAGATAAATTTGTTATGGAATACATGGTCATATACTGGTTCATAAATGAGCTATAGTGGGTTGTTCTAGGAAATGAGATTTTAAAAAAATATTTTAGAGCTGTTTTGTTTCCTTGGCTATCTTACTGGATTGTACCTTAAAATGCAGCTGGGTCTGGGACAAGGCTGGGAAGGCAATGGTGCTGTAGATAACACAGCTTTGAAGAAACTGGCGAGGGGCTAGATCAAATTGTACACCTAGGCTAGATAGAATTGTACATGGGAAGCAAACTGGTGATGTTTTATTGAAGGCCAAATCCCCGAACTGCTGAGTTGAATAGCTGAGGTGAATAAGCTCTCCAGAGTCAAATCACGTATAAAAACGAAGAGCTTTTTAACTTATAACAAGGGACATTTTATTTAATACGTCATAACGTGGGGCATGCATTTTTAACAGCCACAGAGGGATTTCTCTGTGGTTCCCCGCTTTGCCACCTCAGGTGTGGCGCTGTGCCTCTCCGCCATAGCCCCGCTGTGCCTGCGCGGGTACACCCGGCCGGGCAGCGGCCGTCGTGGAGGCACCGCGGCACGGGGCAGGTGGGGGCCGGGGACCCTCAGGCGGCTCCGCCGAGACCCAGGGGGGCCCTGCGACAACCCTCGCGTGTGGGGCGGCCAGGGAGGGCGGCTCGGAGCCCGCCCCGGGGCCCGCCTCATCCTCCCCTGTGCCCTGCGCGCCGCCCGCCGCCATCTTGTACATAGCAACGGTTGCCGGGGCCGGCCGCCATCTTGTATATAGCAACGGTTGCCACGGCCCGCCGCCATGCCGGGGGTCGGGCGCTGCCTCCAGGCAAAAGGCTCGGTCTGCAGGAGCGGGGAGCCCCCGTTCAGCCCCATCTCCTCCTTACCGCACTGCCCGAGAGCTGGGTGAGCGAGCCCGGGGGTGAGGGCTGGTTTGGTTTGGTTTGTTTTCTATACCAAAACTGTAGATTCTAGGGGCAAAATCCTGTCTTTATGCGCAGTACCTAATTACGACCGCTTATTATTTAAATGATGCTGTATTACAAACATTTCGTACTATTACAAACTAATATGTGTAATTATGCACTACTTTAGGGTAAAATTATTTTTATTAGATTTGCATCTGCACGTGGTTATCAACACATGCTGCCTGGCTGGCTACCCTCATAATACCTGTTAAAATAACATTTTAAGTGCAATGTAACGTGCTTTGTGGAGCAGAGATTGGAATTGAAGTAGAAAAAAATGCAGTAAAGCAGTTCAAAGGTACAGAGAGACAGGAAACGTCTGCTTTGAACACCTCGCTTCATCTGTTACAGGCATACTGGAAAAGATCTGTATTAGTACAATAATATAATCAGAGACCCAGAAAATGCAGTTAGTGAGGAAAGGCAAACAATCAGATTAGTTTTGGCTACAGAGAAGACAAGGGCTATCACTCCTTAAGATGCAGTGAATCATCTTCGTTCTGGGGAGAAAAAAAAAAAAGAGAAATCACTGCACCATCATCTTCTTTATCCTGACCGCTCTTACTTAAAATAAGTAATACTATACCACGTTTAAAGAAAAGCAGGTAATGGGGTAGGCATAAATATGGTAACTTTTCTTTAAGACTTTCTGATATGTTCTGTCATGCAGAACCAGTAAAGTTGTGCATATTCTTTTCCCAAAATATATCTTGCATATAACCATATACTTGTCAGTAGACCTCTGTCAACAACTGTTTGCATGATCAAGTCTTCAAATTGGAGGTTTTTACTTTTGTGACAATAGTTTTGCTTGCATAAAAAAGTAATAGCTGGGCTATTCCTTAAATTATTGTTGCTTTAAAAGATAACTAGATGTCCATAGATTTTTTTTTCCTCTTCTAAAATTTAGTTATGGGTGATGAATCAGTACCATATTTGCTGGACCAAGGAACCACAAAAACTTATCAAATACCTATTGGTCATCTGGACTACAAGTTCATTGAAAAATGCACAGATGTTAAACACCTGGAAAAGATTCTCAGGGTATTAAGGTATACATATTTTCTTAATTTTATTACTAATTTTATTCCCCTTCTGTAAAATTTTTCTTTTGTAACTTTAATATCTTCCATTTTAAAGGTCTGGTGAAGAGGGATGTTATCCTGACCTGACACTGTTTTGTGAAAAGCGTATTGAGCATTTAGACCCGGGGAGCAGAGCTCTCAGGAAAGACAGGCCTGCAGCCACAGCTTCTGATTTTACAGCTGAAGAATGGGAAACAATTAACGGTGAACTGATGGTACAGTATTACTCTAGTTTATAGTGGTCAGTAATGTAATCACTCTGATGTATCAATCTGGAGGGATTGTTCAACTTCATCTTGTGCTTAAGCAGAGCATGATTATTTGATTAAATCAGGAAGTGATAGAAGAATTCTGTTTTTTTTTATTATTATTTTTTTTTTTTAATTTATTAACGTCACTGAATTTTTAATGCCCATTATAACTCTAGAGAACTTCTTTATGTATTATTTTTCATTAAAAAAAGCACAAAATAATTGCAAACTACATTTATGAAATCCACTTTTCTCAATCTGTATATCTAAAAACAGGAGAATATTCTATATTGTTTCTATACTGTAAGAACGGAAGAGTACTTTATCCAGCTGAAAATATTGAAGAAATCTAGATGGGCATAAGCATTTTAGATGATGGTATTTTATATGAAAAAGATTCTCTTACAGTGAAGAATGACACTAACATCTCTTACCTGTGATTTAAAAAAAAACAGATGTGTATATGAAGCAATTATTTTTCTGGCCTAGAAGCAAACATGCTATGAATTGAATTGTGCAGGAAAAAGTAAAGCAGCAAAATTAATTTTATGAGAAATTAAGCATAGTTGTTTATTTTTTAGTAGAGTCTATGAGAAGATATGCAGATGCTTTTTGTTGCTTTCTGAATCTTTAGGATAACTTAGAGGCAATTTTGTTTATAACATGTTCTAATCATATTATGCTATTTCTGTTTGAAATCATTTATTTCCAGTCCTTCAAGGAAGCTTCTGCCAGTGCTTAATAACCTCTTCAGAAGAGATAGACAGGGAAGGAGGGGAGGTGGATGTTGCCCTCTGTATTAGGGAAAGGTTTGATTGTGAAGAGATGCTTCTTAGAAACAGCTATGAACAGGTTGAGAGCTTGTGGGTGAAAGTTAAGGACCACACCAATAAAAGTCACCTTTTGGGCGGGGTCTACGACAGGCCACCTGATCAAGAGGAGCCTGTGGACGAGGCATTCTTACTTCAGGTATAATAAGCATCATGCTCGCACACTCTCATCCTGATGGGGGACTTCAGCCACCTGGATTTCTGAGGGAGAAGCTACCCTGCAGGCTGTAAGCAATCCAGGAGATTCCTGGAGTGCGCTGAGGATAACTTCCTGGTCCAGGTACTAGACAAACCAACCAGACAAGAAGATGAGATCCTCTGAAACACTGTTCTCAGGGACAAAGGTGCTGAACAGAGCTGGCAGCTCTTTAAGGATGTTTTCCTTAGAGCACAAAAACTCTCCATCCCCTTGTGTAAGAACGCGGGCAGGGAGGGCAGATGACTGGGATGGCTGAGCAAGGACCTGTTGGTCAAACTGAGGGACAAGAAAGGAAAGCACAGGCAGTGAAAGCAGGGACACGTGGCCTGGGAAAAGAATAGGGATGCAGTCCAGATGTGCAGGGATGGGATTGGGAAAGACAAAGCATGAATGGAACTGAGCTTGGCAAGGGATGCAAAGAATAACAAGAAGGGGCTCTACAGGTATGTTGGTCAAAGAAGAAAGGCCAATGAGAGTGTAGCCCCTCTGATGGACAACAGAAGATGGAGAAGTCTTAGGTACTCAACAACTTCTTTGCCTCAGTCTTCACTGACAGTTGGGCTTCCCATGTCCCTCGTTTCCCTGAACCCATAGATGAGGATTGGGTCCCACTCAGTGTAAGCAAAGAGCAGGTTTGAGACCACCTGATGAAAATAAACAAGAATAAGTGTATGGGGCCTGATGCCATGCATCCCAGGGTCCTGAGGGAACTGGCTGATGGAGTTGACAGGCTTCTCTCCATCATATTTGAAAAGTCGTGGCAGTCAGGTGAAGTCCCTGGTGAGTGGTAAAGGGGAAACATCACTCCCATTTTCAAAAAGGATAGAAAGGAGGACCTGGGGAGCTACAGGCTGGTAAGCCCCACCTCTGCGCCTGGGGAAATCATGGAACAGATCCTCCTAGAAGCAATGTTAAGGCACATGCAGGACAAAGAGGTGATTTGGGACAGTCCGGAGGTTCTACAAGTCTAAGTGCAAGGTGCTGCACCTGTGCTGGGGCAGTTCCAGATGAGGACAGACTGGGAGAACAACTCAATAGGAGCAGCCCTGCAGAGAAAGACTTGGGCCAGCAGTGCGTGCTTGCAGCCCAGAAGGGCAACTGCATCCTGGGCTGCAGCCACAGAGGAGTGGGCAGCAGGAGGAGCAGATTGTGCCCCTCTGCTCTGCCCTGGTGAGGTCCCACCTGGAGTGCTACATCCAGATCTGGGACCCCCAGCACAAGAAGGATGTGGGGCTGTTAGAGAGGGTCCAGAGGAGGCGTGTGAAGATGACCAGAGGCCTTTCATGTGAAGAAAGACTGAGAGATCTGGGGCTGTTCAGCCTGAAGAAGAAAGGGCTCCGGGGTGATCTTATTGCTGCTTTTCAGTAATTAAAGGGGGCTTATAAAAAGATGGAGAACAACTTTTTCTTGTTCAGATAATGACAGGACAAGGATGAATGGTTTTAAACTAAAAGAGAGGAAATTTAGATTAGAGGTTAGGAGGGAATTCTTCACTCAGAGAGCAGTGAGGCACTGGCACAGGCTGCCCAGAGAACCTGTGGATGCCCCATCCCTGGAGGTATTTAAGACCAGCTTGGATGAAGCCCTGAGCAACTTGATCTAGTGGGTGGCATCTCTGCCCATGGCAGGGGAGTTGTAACAAGATGATCTTTAAAGTCCCTTCCAACCTGAGCCATTCTGTGATTCTGAATGATTAAAAGCACTTTTGCTTTTATTTTGCATATTTGTCTTTAAAATGGTTCCCCTTTCCTGACTCTAAACAACAATAAAGGCAGGTGTGGATGTAACTCCTACTGCGTTCATCATTATCTGTGCTCAATTTGGCAGTGTGACTTACAAAAATAACCCTTTTAACCAGAGTAAGGAACTTAAGTTTATGTTGTTTTGTTTTTTCGTTTTAAGCTTGATTTTAAACTTTGTTTTTAATCTTCCTTGTAATGGCTTTTCTCCATTAAGAGCAATGCATTATAATGGTAATTGTTTGTGTCATTGTAGACTGTGTATCCGTTCTACTGCTTTAAGGTACAGATATATTACTTATTTTCAGAGCTGGGTGACAGAAATGCATGAAGATGATCATAAACCGCAGGTTTTGAGAACAGACATGCTGCTTGAAGGACAAGATAACTTGCCTCCTGTTCGTTGTTCCAGCAGCTGCCTTCCTGCTAATCAGGTATCTCCAGTTTTCTAAGGCTTTATTTTTACACGTGTACGTTAGTTATGTCTTTCTAAAATCAGAAAATGTCACCTGTAAGAACTTCTATTCACTGGGCATCTTTAAATATTTTGTTAACCAGAAAATAAAAATCTTCAAGCTGTCTTGCAGGAGACCAATGCTTAAACAAAAGTGCTTCTTTCGTACTAGCATGCTTCTTGTAGTAAAGTTATAATTCTGATCAAGAACTCATTTCTGAAGGAAATCTCCTTAAACACTCTTTTATGTGTTTGCTTCACATGAAGTGCGGTGTTAAAGCAGATGAACTAGGTTCCTTTTGGAGGAAGCTATGCCAGGAGCTGTATTCTGCCATTCTACTGTATCTTACATATGTAATACACAATCTTATAATATTTTACTAATACTAAATACAGTGCTGCTGGAGGGATTGACAGAAAAGTAGGTGTGGGAATGGGATTTTTTTTGAATTGTCAGATGTTACTATGAATGGTTTCAGTCTGATCCCCACTGTTCCGTTTGTAATTCTGGGACACTGTCACAACAAATTCATTGAAGCATTTTTCTTTTTGGAAGTTAGAAATTTAAATTAGAACAGATCCTTTTGGAGCATGTGATATTTCTTAATTGTTAAAGTAACACTTTCAAATTATTGGTTTGAATTCCTATGTTTCAGTAAATGCCTGATTTGTGTTCCTATATTGTCACAAACTACTTCTTACTGTCAGCCAGTATTTAAACACCAGACCAAGATAATGGAGAATGCAAAGTTATTGCCATATATAATATACAAAGAGAAACTGGCTGCTTGGACAGGTGTATGCTTTGTTGGGCTAAATACTGGATGGTGTCCCCAGGGCTTGGTATTGGGACCCATCCTGTTTAATATCTTTATCGATGATTTGGATGAGGGAGTTGAGTGCACCCTCAGTAAGTCTGCAGACTTACTGCAATGCTACAGGCTGGGGGAAGAAGAACTGGAAAGCTGCCCAGTGGAAAGGGACCTGGGGGTATTGGTCAATAGCTGGTTGAATATGAGCCAGCAGTGTGCTCAGGTGGTCAAAAAGGCCAACAGCATCCTGGCTTGTATCAGAAACAGTGTGGCCAGCAGGGCTAGGGAAGTGATTGTCCCTCTGTACTCAGCTCTGGTGAGGCCGCACCTCGAGTACTGTGTTCAGTTTTGGGCCCCTCACTACAGGAAGGACATCGAGGTGCTGGGGCATGTCCAAAGGACAAGAAAGCTGGTGAAGGGTCTAGAAAGCAAGTCTTACAAGGAGCAGCTGAGGGAGCAGGGGTGGTTTAGCTTGGAGGCTCAGGGAGACCTTATCGCACTCTACAATTACCTTAAAGGAGGCTATAGTGAGGTGGGTGTTGGTCTCTTCTCCCAAGCACCAGGTCATAAGACAAGGAAATGACCTCAAGTTGTGCCAGGGAAGGTTCAGGTTGGATATTAGGAAAAATTTCTTCATTGAAAGAGTTGTGAAGTAGTGGAACAGACTGCCCAGGAAAACGGTTGAGTCACCATCCCTGGAGGTCTTCAAAAAAACTTGTAAAGCTTTGTGACGTGGTTTAATGGTGGACTTGGCAGTGCTAGGTTAAAGGTTGAACTAGATGATCTTTTCCAACCTAAATGATTCAATGATTCTAAGTTTTTATTACTTTTATTCTCTATACAAGGTTTAGGTATTAGTGTTATTACCAAGGAAACACAGATACAGCTTTGTGTTATTTGTGGTATATGATTTCTTTTCCTTTTGTCAGTGAAGGCTACCTCTGAAATAATTGTAACCTTTCCTGGAAGAGAAAAGAGAGGCCTGAAATTGTGTTCTAGAATTCAATCTTTTTATGTAGCAGTGCAGTTACACCACTACTAGATCAATACTGAATAAAAGGAGGCTTTTTCTATACTGCACACTAAGACATCTGTACAATGAAATTTCAAAAAAGCAGATTAATATTTTGAATCTGTTGTTATTTGTTGTTTTTGTTTGTTTTCTATTTGATAAAGCAATGGGCAAGGTAGTAATTGTTAAACATATTTTGTTAATCAATTACGTCTATAACTATCTTTTTCACTAGCATCACATAACTTTGTAATGTGATGTCAGGTATAAAGTTGGGATGATAAATTAATCCTCTCTGCTAGAAAGAAATCCACAAACCCTTCCATTTGATTGGAGACTGCATATCTGATGTGGTGCATAAAAACTCCAGGAACTTCAGTGAAGCAGAATCAATGATTAGATAGAAGAAGCTTATCAATGAATAGATAAATACTTCATGTAAAACTTCCCTTTTTTACACAATATGGAAGTTTCTTAATACCCTGGTTTTCATTTCACACTGCCTAGGATTTTGAGGTTACAACTATACTGTAGAATAAAAGAGGACTGGAGAAACAGCTAGAGTGTTTTTGTTTTTAACTGTCCATATTGCTTAATCAATTTTACTGCCTCCCTTTTTCCAGGACAAAAGGAAAGCATGTCCTGGAAGCATTTTTTAGAAATAGTTCCAAAATATTGTATGGATGAGATTTCAGCAGACATAGGTTTCTTTGCCAGACACAATGGGCTACAGTCCATGGCATACAACACATATTCCAAGTTCTATGTTATGAAACTGTCTGTGATGTTATCTATATAGCCCTCGTTATTTTGGATGCTCCAAATTGAAAAAGAATACTGGTTAGTTGACACAGAATAATAATGTGTTAGTATGGGATCCAGAGGAGAACCAAGGCCAAATTGTTTGTCATCTGAACTAAATACAGTCTGTACTTCGTTTTTAGATGCAGAAATAACTCACTTGGCTTCAAACGCTTTGGGATCCATGCAATTTGGCAAGAAACATGGCAAGGGCAGAGGGTTGTTCTTTTTTTGTTTGTTTGTTTTGTTTTGTTTTTGTTCTTTGCCTGTAATACCAAGTACCAATGAAAAGTTAATACAGCATGCAAATGTAGCTTTTTCATGAAAGCCTCTTGAATGAGATGCTTTGAAACATTACTGATTGAGAAATTCCTTACTCCATTGGAGCCACAATTTGGTTACAGTGGTCCCAAGAATATGAGACCTAGAATATTAAGGATTTTTGAAATTTTGAGTCAATGTTTCTGCCTTATTCCATGAAAGGATGTGTTCAAGTTTGTGTAGTTACTTTATAAATGTTCTTCTGAGAGTTTCATCTTTTTTTGTGCTCATTCAAATTAAGGCCTTCTGGTTTGAAAAGACATTTGGTATTTTAAAAATTACAAAGTTTGTAATATACCCCAGGATACATACGCAATGATGTAATATTCCAATAAGCCATATTTAGGAGTTACCTCCTCCAAACATGCATTAATGTATGTCATTTTGTCTAGCTTCTTGAATGACTGAGAACATTAAGTGCAATTCTCAAGTCGAATACTACAAAAGCTTATGTAACCTAACATTATGGATAGCTGTAGGTGTTTATAGGAAGGGCCACATTTGCATTATGTAAATTGAGGTGTTTATATGCAACTTCAGAAGTGTTACCTTGCAACAGTGTCACCACTGGTAAAGCTAGTTTAAGAGGTTCCTGTTTGTTTCTTTGGTTCAGTTTATCACATGCTCACTTGAACTGGTAAAAATATTTAGGGGTTGCACTGTGGTATCTATTAAATTGTTTGTTTGAACCCAGATAATTGTAAGTCTGCAATCCTACAAGAAATTACCCTGGTCTAACTTGGTGAGAGATGGATTGCAAGGTAAGAGGAGGGCTGAACGGCCAGCAAAGAGTAGAAAATAAATATTTTGAACTGGCTGTACAACTATGGAGTACCTGTTTAGAACCACACCTTGCTGCTGAATATTGTTGAAGTCAACAAGCAGGGAAGGGCCATTATCGGAAACATAGTCTGATGATAGAGATGGAAGAGATGCCAGAGGTGGTGGCTATGGAAATACATCCCATATACATTAGGATAGGAGCTGGATTGTGATACAAATCAGTCGAGTCAGTTACTGGGACTGATTGTTGCAGGATAAATTGTCTAAAACCTAGAATGAGAGTAAATCGTCTTGGAAATTAGCCTGATTGGTGTGTCAAATAAGTACAGACACTATCTAGAAGAAGCCAAACCAAATTTTCATTTTAAGTTTGTTCAGAGGGCTTCAGGGGCTGTCAGAATCTGTGCATTGCATTCTCCTGGGAAGGACAAGGCTAAAATGAGGTTACTGATTCAATCTTGGTGTTAAACATCTCGTTACAAGGCTGGGATTTTCCAAGAGTAAGTAGAGTTTGTTGCTGTATTGAAAGGATGGTTTCAAAGCAACACAAAATACTAATTAGGAAGAGCAGTGTCTTCTATCTGAAAGTTTTATCCAGCACCTCTGTGACACATAACAGGGCAGTGGAAAGTGTGAGACTCAGATTACAATGGTCCATCAAATACATAAAGATGTTCTTTAAAGCAAGATAAACAAAATTTTCAATACTATGCTGAAATTAGTCATGAACAGTGTTAATTAGTGCAGATATGTATTGCAGAAATTAAAAAAAAAAAAAAAAAAGGCTGTGAATTTTCTCTTTTGAAAATTGTCTTACAGGCTGGTTGTTTCTCTTTCAGAATGAAAAATTACAAAATAAACAAAGAAACAAGAAAAACATACCACGGGATTACAGCGAATGGGACAAGTATGTTAAGCCCTTTATTTTTTTTATTAACTCATTTATTTATTCTATAATGGAACGCTATTGGGGGGGAAGGCTGCTGTTGTTGTTTAAGTATTTTTGAGAAACATAGTATTAACTTTTCAGGGAATTATAATAATTCAGTGAAACTTATGTTTTTCATAATAAACATTCTGTTAAACAGCAAATGATGCATTGTGGTGCTGCTAACTGAAAACAAGTTATCTTGTATTTTTTTGCTCAAGTGTTGTGAAATATAACAAGTCAACAGAAAATATAATTATTTTTTTCAGCATCTAAGATACAAGTCTATGGAGGTACATTTAAAAAAAAAAGAAGAATTAAAAATAGCTCAATTTATATTTTATATATATATGTTATTTAAATAATGTAATGGTGGCATATTACCCTTCCCAGTTGGATGACAAATAAATATTGACTGTGGAAGGGGCAAAATGCATTCTTCTGTTTTTTGTGCTAGTGGCTTCCCTCTAGCTCCTTAAACAATGCTGCAGAATCTGTTCTAGTGAGAATACTATCGTTAAAGCAAAGGCTATCTTTCATTGTCATAAGCAGAAAAGTTTAGTGTAGGAATTGGTTATTACCCTATATTTTTTATAGGATTATAGCTGCAATATTTATTCAATATAAATTCCTATACACTGTTTTCAAAAGCTGTTTCATAGTAATCTTGGAAGCGTCCTAGATTGTTTTCAAATTTCTCTCAAATTACACTATTAATCACTTCAAAGGCATTTCTTCAGTATTTCTAACAAAGGTTAATACCAGCATCTGATAGAAGTGGAATCGAGCCTGAAGATACAATTCAATTAATTTCACCTGTCTTTTGTTGGAGATGGTTGTTTGTTTTTGAGCAGAAGGGATGAAAAAAGGAGTGGTAATATATTATGCAGGAGAAATGGAAAAAATAGCATGAGGAAAGGAGGTAACACTAAACTTTATTTTTTCCTAACTAGTCATGGATAATTGAACGCTGCCTTTATGCCTGCTTACCTTTAGTTTAAAATGGAAATAGAAAGCATACCTTTCTATTAGTAGAGGACTTTTACTGTGCAACATTATTGTATTTGTCATTTTTATTAATTTAAGGTTTGATGTGGAAAAGGAGTGTTCTAAAATTGATGAAGGAGCTGAAGAAAATAACTCAAAATCAAGATTCTTTAACAGGCCACATCTACCTCTAATTGAAAAGAAAATAGATACAACTGGTAATGCCTTAGAAACATTTTTTTCTCTAACTGTAATACTGTGTTATAGAGTGTGAATCTAAATTGAAGAAGTAAATTATTGAGGTAAAATTGCCTATATTTTTTGGCACCTAGAGATTATAAAAGTTCTTACGAGGTCAACTGAGAGTGAAGCCATATTTAAAAAAAAATTAATCTGCTAATAAATCAGTTAAACTATTTGTTGCATTTAGGTTGAGAGAGCCAGGTAAAAATACAAAGCACACTTCCACTATTATAATTTAATGGTGGGGTAACCTCTTTCATCTTGTATTCTGAACTGTGTGCGTATCAAAGTAATTTATTTTTTATTATAGAAAATGTAATTAAAAATGTCTTTTAATAATACATGTTGTTTTAAAAGTAATTTAAATAATATGACATTCAAAAGTATTTTAGCTGACAATGTTGTGATTACATCTGTGCAAGTTATTAATTGTTGTGATGTATAATTATTTGTTTTCTAGGCATGACAAAGAAAGAGAAGATCTTTATTGCTACTCGTGAAAAAGAAAAGGGCAACGAAGCTTTTGCCAGTGGAGATTACGTGGAAGCAGGTGACATATTACACTCGGTGAGTAAATACTATTGTATTCTTTTATTTTAATTATTGTTACTTGTGAACGTTATTTTTAGAGCAATAGGGATAATTAGATTATTGTCAACAGTGCAAAAAGGTTTTACAGGAGAATACTTTTCAGCACTGTTGCATCCTGATACTAATTTTTGTCAGGAAGGAGTGGATGCATAGTGATAGGACAATTTGCAGATGTCACAAAGTTACTCAGATCTTTCAAAACCATTGAGATTCAAGGGCAGGTTGACAAAAATAAGAGGAGGCTCGGGGGAGACCTTATTGCTATCCACAATTATCTGAAAGGAGGTTGTGGTGAGGTGAGGGTTGGCCTCTTCTCCCAGGCACCAAGCTATAGGACAAGAGGGAATGGCCTCAGAGTTGTTCCAGGGGAGGTTCAGGTTGGATATTAGGAAAAATTTCTTCGCTGAGAATGGCTAGGCATTTGAACAGGTTGCCCAGGGAAATGGTGGAGTGGTCATCCCTGGAGGTCTTTAAGGAAAGAACAGATGTGGTGCTTGGGGACATGGTTTATTGGGTGTTATTGGTGGTAGGTGGACAGTTAGTCTAGATGATCTTAGAGGTCTTTTTCAGCCTTAATGATTCTATGATTCTACATTCAGGCTTTCTAATGATGAGCACATCATGGTCATCTTTTTCAGGAGTATATCAGTACTACCCACTGCAGCTGCATACAATAACAAAGCTCAAGCAGAAATAAAACTTCAGGACTGGGACAGTGCTTTGCAGGATTGTGAGAAGGTGTTGGATATGGAACCTGGCAACGTAAAAGGTGAAGTTTAACACAAATGTGCCTTTATATATTAGTTTATTTCTAGCAAATAAAATGGTTCATACTCATTCACGTTCTTGATTTCACTGAGCTTTAGATCAGTTCTGAGTATGAAGAAGGGGGAAATTAATGGCTATTCTTAAGCAGAAGCATGGAGCAACTCATTTTTTTTTATATGATGACAATAAGTGCTCTTGTGTTTGTGCAACACGTTGTTTAGATAATGACAACACTGAAGTATTAATCACCTTACAAGCAACCTGTAAACAATGAAAGTTGCTGATTTAATCCTTTCTGAAGACAAAGGCTTGAATACAGCCTGAATACAGTATTTGCATGTGAGGAGCAGACAAATCGGAAAAATATGAGGGGATGCTTTTCACGAGTCATGATTGCTATCTCAGCAAGTGAAATTGCATCATTAAAAACAACCAAGAGAACAGTAATTAGTAATATAGCGTCATTATGAAGTAAACTCAGAATCTTTAAAAAAAAGATTTACACTTCGTATGTCTAGAAAAATAGCCTAGTTCTCCACTTAATGCTTTTAAAGTATATACAATACTCTGTTCCTTTGTAGCTCTGATGCGCCGTGCCACTGTTAACAATCAGCTGAAGAATTACGAGACTGCTATAGAGGATCTGAACAAAGTGTTGTGCATTGAACCAGAAAATGCTTTAGCTAAGGTAAAGACACATGACCCACAGATGACTAGAAAAAGGTTGTAAGCAGCTGTAGAATAAAGTGCATACCATTTATATTGTTTGATTTGAATGTGAGTTCTGAGGACATGATCGATCTACGGTGCCAGTGATCAGTTTCCAAAGACCACTTAGCAGCCTGTGATGGAAATTAGGTACCTGAATGTGATCAAATATTCTATTTGCTACTGTATTGTTAGAACCTGTAGGCACTGAAGTCTTCTGTATTGAAGTAATGTAGGTGCCTAAAATTTAGCTGCTGAACATGCTCACAGTATTAATTCATTGGTCAATCATCAAAGTTACTTGGAAATTTCTGTCAAAAAGATGCATTGGGATAGGAGTATTTAAAGTTTGATATGTAATTCACAAGAAAAAATCAAAGGAGACGCCAGACTTTTATTGTTGTGCTGGTCAAGGTAACCTGAAAGGAGAAGACCTGGGTTCTGGTCTCACTTCAACGTGATGTTGTAAATACTCAGCTCTCATCTCCATGCTAGAATGAAAATCAATGGATTGAGAGCATCCCCGAGGAGCAGGCCCTGGGGGTGCCGGTTGATCAGAAGCTCAATGTGAGCTGGCAATGTGCACTTGCAGCCCAGAAAGCCAACCATATCCTGGGCTGCACCAAAAGAAGAATGACCAGCAGGAGGTGATTCTTCCCTCTCTACTCTGCTCCCTTGAGACCCCACCTAGTACTGTGTTCAGCTCTGGGTTCCCCATGAACATGGATGTATTGGAACATGTCCATAGGAGGGCCACAAAAATGATCTTCAAGCACTTCTCCCATGAAGACAGGCTGAGAAAATTGGGGTTGTTCAGGCTGGAGAAGAGAATGTGCTGGGCAGACTTCATTGCAGCCTTCCAGTACCTAAAGGGGGCCTACTGGAAAGCTGGAGAGGGTCTCTTTATCAGGGTGTGTAGTGGGAGGGCAAGGCGTATTGGTTTTAAACTAAAAAAGGGTAGATTTAGATCAGATATTCAGAAGAAATTACTCACTCTGAGGGTGGCACAGGTTGCCCAGAGAAGCTGTGGATGCCCCATTCCTGGGAGTGTTTGAGGTTAGGCTGGATGGGGCTGTGAGCAACCTGCTCTAGTGGGAGGTGTCCTCACCCATGGCTGGGGTTTGAACTAGATGATCTTTAAGATCCCTCCAAGCCAAGCCATTCTATGATCCTGCGATTCTTTGAAAAACCTTGCGTACCTTCTTATGAATATGGACCCTTCTAGGTCAGTTTTGGACCTAAGAAATACGATGCTTTCTTTGAAAACTCAAGGTCAGGATGTGGTCCTTGTAGGAAAAGATTAGTTTGTATCATTTCACTGGTATTTTCTCAAGGGTGTTTTGTGGCTTAGAACCCAGTCCTTAAATTTGAACGCTACCTGTCCTGAGGATCTTCAGCACTAGGCAGTTTTGATACTAAACTGCTCTTCACCTGTTAATTAGGAGTCTATCATACTGCTACCCCCCAATTTTATAACATGTGATTCCTGGATGCTGTGCAATTGCCTCATCATGTGAATTCCATTTAGCTCTTATTGTTGGCACACTTTAAGCTGCTAGCAGCTTACTGATTAGTACTACTTTCTGTGGAGTTACTTGATCCAATACTGCTATTGCTTGCATCAGAAAAGTTAGGGAGGTCCAAGCCTGTACATCAGGTTCACCATCTACCGCATTCATGCCCATTGGGGTGTTCTGCAGCTGAATTCCTGTCCAGAGTAGTTCCGGAGTTCATGTCAACCAAGGAATCAACCTGCCTGCTTTTTTCTCTTTTTCTTTTTGAACACATCTCTCTAGATTTGACTTCTGAAAGGGCACTTTTGTTTCTTTTCACCTTTACAAGACTGATCCACTAGCTTCTGAGTCTGTGCTGACAAACTACACAAAAGTTTTTGTGCAAAGGCTATGCTGAGACTTCTTAGAATACCAGATATATGATACTCACTGTGAGTACACTCTTCCGGGAATCCAAATACATCAGTACCTTCGCTGAGTATAATGCTGCTGTTGCTGAAAGCAAAATTCTGTCCTTATGCATGTCAGCTTTTTTGCCTTGGCTGAGACATCTATAGGTAACAGTGGGTTTTTTTGAGTTACTCTGCTTGAAGGATCCTCAAAACCCTCTTGAGCTACTTAAAAATACATGGAACACATGCAGAGTGAAGGTTTCTATGCAGAGTTACTGATTTATTTGCTTGTCAGTAACTGGAGTTTTTCATTGTACTTTTCCACATGAATCTTTGCTTCTTCCTGTCTTTAACTTTTGCTTGTTGAAGTGAGTACTGAAATGGCACTTCCTCATACAGCACTGAATACAAAACAGAATAGAGCATAATATTGGGTGTGTCTTACTCTGTTCTGAAAGCATGAAGTGCAGTTGGAGCATTTCTTTGATTCATCCAAAAACATTTATGGAAATGAGAGGCTGTCTGATTATCTAATTTGCAGTTCTTACACGAGGAGCAAAGCTTTTCATTATTCAACAGTGTCCTTCTGCTACACTGCTAAGAAATTGTTGTCTCTTTTGGTTCTAGTTCAATCATTTACATTAGTCCCTCAAATACCTCTCAGATGCTGAGTTCTTGATAGCGTAAATTTTGATAAACTGTTTTTGGGCTTTTTCAGAGATTCTGGGAAGAGCCTGTTTGCCATGGGTCTCTTCTGAGTAGACCATGCTGGATATCACAATAATACAATCTACTTCTATTTATTTACCTATGCTTAAGCAAAGAAAGGAATGTATTTATTTGTGTGGTATCTTCTGATTAAGTTTCTAAGAGACAGAAATTGGGTGTTAATCTTGGTTTTGATACTCACTGTCGGAAAAGTCACATTTATTTTCTTTTTTATATTGGTAACATTTATCTGCATGATTATGTATTCAGGACCTTATATGTATTATTTAACAGAGTGTATTTCTGGGTATAAATTACAATTTATATACCTATAAAAAAAAAAAGGCTTCTGCTATTACTGTTTATTTCTCTATTGCAGAAAAATCTGCTAGAGACTGAAAAGAAACTGATAGGTTTAAAACCTGTCTCTAAGACTGAAAGCAAAGGAAAAAGAATACTTATTGAAGAGATAGAGGATTCTGAAGGTAGTGAAGAAAGAGGAGAAAATGCAGAGGAATGTGGAAGAAGCAGTGGAGATAAAGGTAATGTCATGTCATTTCCTGTTTAATTTTAAGCTGAAGAAAAAATTGTTGCCTTTGATATTATAATCTTTATTCACAAAATTCATCCATACTTGCTGGCAAATAATTTCCCCTGTTTGAAGACTAAAAATACATAGAGTCATAGAATAACTGAGTTGGAAGGGAACCATAAGGATCATGGAGTCCAGCTCCTGGCACCACACAGGTCTACTCAAAAATTCAGACCATATGACTAAGAGCACAGTCCAAACGCTTCTTAAATTCAGACAGGGCTTGGTGCCGTGACTGCATCCCTGGGGAGCCTGTTCCAGTGAATCACATCCCTCTTGGTGATGAACCTCTTCCTGATATCCAGCGTGAACCCTCCCTGTTGCAGCTTGACACCATTCTCTTGGGTCCTATCGCTGGTCACTAAAGAGAATAGATAGTCAGCTGGCCCTCCACTCCCCCTCGTGAGGAAGCTGTAAACCGCAATGAGGTCTCCCCTCAGCCTCCTCTTTTCCAGGCTGAACAGGCCAAGTGATCTCAGCCGCTCCTCACACGTCTTCCCCTCTAGGCCCTTCACCATCTTAGTAGCTTTTCTCTGAACACGCTCCAATGGTTTCACATCCTTTTTGTACTGTGGTGCCCAGAACTGCACACAGTGCTCAAGGTGAGGCTGCACCAGCGCAGAGCGGGACAGTCACTTCTCTCAACCGCCTAGCAATGCCATGCTTGATGCACCCCAGGATACGGTTGGCCCTCCTGGCAACTGCCCAGCTCTCGAATCTGTCCAGATCTCTCTACATTCACTACTTAAAGTAGATCTGAATAGGAAGTCTAGAATCCAATTTTGTTAGACATTTTTTTTAAATATTTCTAAGAAAGGTATAACAAATGCACACGGAAAAATGTTGCTAAAAGTCACCTTCCTCCCCGTGTTCTGTATAATTTTATACCTTTCCTTTGATGAAGGACCCCATGAATATTCTGAGATTAGAGAACATCTTGTGTTCCTTAGATTTTCCCTTGCACAACTCTCTTACCTTCCTACCATCATCTTTTTTCTTCTGCATTTTTCCTCTTAATTGGATCAAAGGGCCTAAAACTGATCAAGTATCACCTGATTTTTTGTTGTTGTTTTGTTGGAAACAGGTTTCAAGGTTTTTTTTGTTTTGTTTTTTAACATGAGGTCATCTGCATGCACTAAAAGTATATATTAGAGATAAACAACCTGTAATTCTTGTACTGTTCACAACTCACAAGCAGTTGAAGTGCAGCTCCTGTTCCTGTATTAGTGTGTGATTAACTGCAAGAGTGCTGAGATGAAACTGCTGGCTTAATCAGAATGAATGACTTCAGGAGGAAGTGGGGTAGCAGAAATTTCTGAGGCTTGCTTTTGGGTTCAGCTGCATGTCTAGACTCCAGCCTGACACAGAACAACATCGCTGGGTTGATTTCCACCCTTTCCCCCTTTCTGTTGTTTGTTTGTTTGTTTTAAGGTAATTTGGCCACAGACAGCTGTGGCTTTTGTGTTTTCCATGGTCTATGTAGTTCTTTGGAAATTAAAATCAGTCTGTTGGTTTTCCAGTAATCAAGATGTTCCACTTAATTGTGAATATTAGTCTCTAAATGTGTGATTTAGTAATGCATTGTTTGCACAAGAGTTTAGGCAAAATATATTTTTCAAAACCAGTAGGTTTCCACTAAGTCTCCTCAGCGAAAAGTCTTCTCAGCTAATACCCTGGAGGAAAGGATGGATCGTGTCCCTAACATTACATATAGGTAATGTGGGGGTTGCTTGCCATTGGGAGCATTCAGATGACTAAGTGCCTTTTAGCTCCACAGGAAGACTCCCATTCATGTGATGAAAGGTTAGGCTTTTAAATGTAGGGAAGATTGTCAGCTGCCCTCAGTGTAAGGTGTTCATGTGATATACGTAAGTACTTTTAAGATTTAGGAGGCAAGCATCTTCATAGATTACTGTGGGTTTTAAAGTATATCAGGAAACAAATTCAGCTGTTAAATAAATGTAATATGCTCTGGGAACAGCAATAAGCAGACTAAGCATCGTAGTCTTCTAGTTTCACTTCCTGTGTGGTATTAAACTTACTTGATGCCACAAAAGTTGTTTACAGAGAATTATTTGTGATTATTTTTCTATCAGTCTGTTCTCTACTTCATAGTACCAAATTAATTACCTCTGAAGATCATCTAGTCCACCCCCTCGCCAAGCAAGGTCACCTAGAGCACATTGCACAGGATCACACTGAGGCAGGATTTGAATGTCTCCAAAGAAGGAGAGACTCCCCAGCCTTTCTGGTCTAACTTATGCCAGTGCTCGGTCACCCTCACAGTATAGAAGGGTTTTCTCATAACCAGCTAGAACTTCCACGTTTCAGTTTGTGCCAGTTCCCTCTCGTCCTGTCACTGGGCACCACTGAAAAGATTCTGGCTGCATCTTCACACCCTCCCTGCTCTCAGCCTCTCCTCGTATGACAGATGCTCCAGACCCCTAATCATCTTAGTATCCCTTCTCTGGACATGCTCTAGTAGCTCCATTTCCTTCGTATACTAGAAATCCCAGAGCTGGACACAATACTCCAGGTATGGCCTCACCAGGCCACCTGAGCACAGGAACAGGATCACCTCTCTCGACCTGCTGGCAATGCAACCTAGTTGCATTAGGTTTGTGTTTTCCATGGTCTACAAACCTAATGCAACCCAGTATCTCATTGCCCTTCTTGGCCTCAAGGGCATGTGGCTGGCTCATGGACAACCTACTGTCCACCAGGACCCCCAGGTCTCTCTCCACAGAGCTGCTTTCCAGCAGCCTGTAATGGTGTACAGGGTTATTCCTCTCTAGGTGCAGGACCCTGCACTTGGCTTTGTTGAGTTTCATGAGGTTCCTCTCTGTCCAGCTTTCCAGCCTGTCCAGGTCAAAGGATGCCATCCAGAAGCACCTGGGCAATTTTATTTTTTTTTTTATGTAATGGACTGGGTTCTTATTTTCACTTCTTCTTGAATTATTCCATGTGAAATAACAGATTTGATGCTACAGATAGTTCTTCAACGTACGTGTTAATGTCATGGCTTTTCTCAGGGAACAGTGAGTAAGGTCTTAGATTTGCATTTTGAAGTTTCTGATTTGTTTAGGAACAACACATATTGGGTAGGAGATGATTAGAGCTTTCTCCTACTCAAGTGATTAGTTGTGCTTGCTGATGTATTTTTGGCATAGTTTTATGCTCTCCTCTACCACTGAGCCTCAAATATAATGGAGATGTTCTCTGTTTCTTGATACTTAGTGGCAGCAGCTCTGTATACTCTCTCACTTGGCCTTTATGCCATATATGAATATGCATCTACCCAAATCTTAATTTGTAGTAATCTGTGACCAGGCTTTTACTGTAATAGAAAGTTTCTTTGACACTGTGACCATGAATAAGTCACTCTCTCTGTTCTCCTTATGGTTACAAGCCTTATTGATGGGGTCTTGTAGAAGGACATTTGGCCACCTTGTTACCCATTGCCATACTTATTCTGTATTCCTTGATCCTCCTTCCAGTGTGCTTTTTCATTTTCTATTTTTAATTTTTTAGAATTGTAAATTCTGTGAAGAAGGAGCTCTCATTTATAATTGATTGGTATAATGTCTAGCACAACAGGGCCCAACACACTGTAGGTTTTAGGCTCTATTGAAAGCTTGCAATACAAGAAATCAGATCATGTTAAAATAAACAGCATTGAAAATTAACTCTAGAATTTAATTTGTAATGAATTTCTTGAAGTTAAGAAAACCCCTCAGTTACCGTGTCAGCATTAATGTTGATCAGTAAGTCTTTTTTCATTCTTTACTACTGCACTGCAGCAGTCAGAGATTGAAATTATTTAAGAAATCTGTTCATTATATATTCTGGTTTCAAAAAATTTGGGTACAAACCAAGAACATGCAATCCAAATCAGATTTACTGGCCGTGTGTGATAGAAAAAAAAATAATGCAGAATTATTAAACATTAATCTCTGGAGATTTGGACCATTCCAGTTGCCTTCAAATATAGCTATGCCAGGGCAGTTAAAGCATTGGAACCTGACTTCATCGTAGATGAATTCGTTGTGAACTGAACTTTGGGGCCAGGCTCTCCTCAGCGGTGTGCAGCTGTAGGACAAGAGGCACCAGCCAAAAACTGGAACACAGGAGGTTCCACACACACGTGTCTAAGGACTTCTTTACAGTGAGGGTGACAGAGCACTGGAACAGGCTGCCCTGAGCGGTTGTGGAGGCTCCTGCTCTGGAGATACTCAAGGCCCCCTCGACATCTTCCTGCTCAACCTGCTGTAGGGAACCTGCTTTTAGCAGGGGGTTGGACTTGATGAGCCCCAGATATTCCTTCCAACCCCTGTGATTCTGTGAGCTGGGAGAAGAGTGGTTAGAAAGCTGCCTGGCAGTGTGCTCAGGTGGCCAAGAAGGCCAACAGCATCCTGGCTTGTATAAGAAGCAGTGTGGCTATCAGGGCCAGGGGAGTGACTGTCCCCCTGTGCTTGGCTCTGCTGAGGCTGCACCTCGAGTACTGTGTTCAATTTTGGGCCCCTCACCACAAGAAGGACATGGAGGTGCTTGAGTGGGTCCAGAGAAGGGTGACAAAGCTGGTGAGGGGCCTGGAGAACAAGTCCTACGAGGAGCGGCTGAGGGAGCTGGGCTTGTTCAGCCTGGAGAAGAGGAGGCTCAGGGGCGACCTTATTGCTCTTTACAGATACCTTAAAGGAGGCTGTAGGGAGGTGGGGGTTGGTCTATTCTCCCCCGTGCCTGGTGACAGGACGAGGGGGAATGGGCTAAAGTTGTGCCAGGGGAGGTTTAGGTTGGATGTTAGGAAGAACTTCTTTACTGAAAGGGTTGTTAGGCACTGGAACGGGCTGCCCAGGGAGGTGGTGGAGTCACCATCCCTGGAGGTCTTTAAAAGACGTTTAGATGTAGAGCTTAGGGATATGGTTTAGAGGAGGACTAAGGTTAGTGTTAGGTCAGAGGTTGGACTCGGTGATCTTGGAGGTCTCTTCAGCCTAGATGACTCTGTGATTTTGTGCCATGCTTCTGAAGGAGAAATACCTCGAACAGCTGAGAATTCGTTTTCAGTGAAAGATGTCACCCATTCCACAAATCCGCTTCAAATATTCCTTTCAGAATACCCAAGATGATTGACAGCCCTTCCATTTTAACTCGGTTCCCTCATTACTAACGCGAATTAAACTTCTTTAAGTTCCCGTGTGGTGGTTTTGCCCCAAATCCTCAACTTCTCTCCCCCTCCCCCCCCCCACTCCGTGAGGCGCGGCGTGAGGCGGGCGGGGCGGGGCGGGGCGGGGCGGGGCCCCGCGCCTCAGCCGCCCCTTGGCTCCCCGCAGGGCGCCGGCAGGCAGCCGGCCCGGCCGCCATGGGCAGCGCGCAGAGGAAGGCGCAGGGCGCCAAGGCCGAGGGCAAGGAACGGCGCAGGGACCCCGCCGACCCCAAGGGCACGGCCGAGGAAGGCGGGCAGAGGCCGGAGCAGCAGCAAGTTGAAGGCGAAGCCGATGGCTACTCGGATGGAGAAGGGGCGAGGGGGAGCCCCGCGGCGCAGCAGCCCCCCGGGGCGCACGGGGACGGGGCCACCTCGCTGCCGCCGGCTGCAGCGGAACTGAAAAGGGAAGGAAACGAGTTGTTCAAGGGGGGACAGTTCGCAGAAGCTGTGCTCAGGTACTCCGAAGCCATTGAACACGTCGTCGGTCTAGGTGAGTGCGATACCTTCTACTTAAAGCTTATGTAGGTGGTTTAAGGGAGCTAGAGGTGAAGTCACCGAGCCTATCCCTGAATTTTTGGCAGGAGTTACTGTGCCGTATTACTTCGTCATTGGCAGTAGGAGCCAATTCATGAAATACAAAATGTAGGAAGACGAGTGAAGTAATCTTTTAATTTCCTTGAGACAGAGATGTTTGCATTTCTTTATGTCTGAGTAACTCCATATTCTCAGTGACATGATAAAGGAAAGCTCCTTACAGCTTTGCATCAACAAACTGCATCACTGCGGTACAACTTGCTCTATGCAGCTACTTGAATTCTCTAATGTCATTTTAGAGTGGTCTTTGATTTTAATTGTAACTTCTTTTAGGGGAACAAATTCCAGATGATTTAAGTATCTTGTACTCGAACAGAGCAGCGTGTTACCTCAAAGAAGGCAACTGCAGTGACTGCATTCAGGATTGTAACAGGTAAATTGCAACCTCCTATGTAGAGCAACAACATTCCTGATGATGATTAAACACTTTAAGCGATATCTTGTTATTGCACTTGGAAGCCCTGCCTGCATGACAGATACTTTTATTTTTCATTTATGAAAACAATCACATGAAACCTAGGGAAAGAATAAGTTTTAGTTTGCTTTCTTACTGTGTGAAGGCAGTTGTTAGACTTATCATATTCACAAATATGCATAGAAAGCTTAAAATCTTATGATAAAAGCAGGCTTACTTCCATAATGCATTATGGTAACCTCTATGTAAAAATTTTATTAAACCAAGTGCTTATCATAGCGTTGGAAATTACTTTTAAGCATCTTTGTGGTGAATATGTGTGTTCTGTGTGCTTGGTTTTTTAATATAAACTCAGCATAGTTAGGAACAGTGATTACAGTTGTTAAGGAATTGAGCTAAAATCCTTCTGCTTATAGTGTCTTTTAAGGACACAGGTGTGAAAGATCGGACACCTTCAGTAACTTCCTGACACTACCTTCAACTAAATTGCCGCTGTATTTCCAGATGTCTTTTGCTATATTTTCTTAAATAGCACTAGTAAGACTGAGGCTTAAAGGGCCAGAGATGGTCAGAAATCTTTTTTTTTTTTTTAATTTTATTAATATAGTTGAACCCAACTGTTTAAAAAAAAAATAAATCTAAACTAGGTATGTAACTGTATGTATGTAACTGTATACTAACTGAATATTTGACTTATGCTATAAATTCTGCCTGACAAAAAAAGATTTCTGAAAATGTCATCTGAGAAAATTGACTGGCTGTCAGTATTTCGTTAAAGTAGATGCAGGATCATGGACAGCTTGCTGATGAGACAAGCTGGCATACTTACGTGCCATAACATTCTTCAATTCAGGAGGTTTCTAGTATGTAAGGCTTCAGGCAAAGTCAGTAATGCAAAGGTTTGTGTTTTTGTTTGTTTTTTTTTTTCATTCTTAGTGATTAGAAGCTTAGTTTTCGTATTACATAGTATTCTTAATCTCATGCATATTTTCTGGATCCATGAGGACCCATAATGCTTAGTGAGCACAACAGAGGTAGAAAGAATGTAGAGACTGGGAGGTAGAACCGCAAAACTTCAAACGCAGAAATTAGGCAATGTCAATTAGATTTACTCTAGACAACACAACAAAAGGATAATCTATGAAGAGGTTACTTGATATCATCAAAGTAAAAAATGGCGTAGTGCTTACATTTGTGATACAGAAAGTATAAAAATTATTGAATGTTTATTAAGTTTTAGCTACTTAGGGCTTAGAAGTTTGTCAATAAACCCTTTGTTGGACATCTCTGACTCAAGACTGATTCGGGGTGCTTGTGTTTCTTGCTACAGAGAGTGAAATAGGGCTCCTATGTGCTAGATTGATTTTCTCCTGGTGTACTGGTATTGCTTGGTTCATGACTGAATTATCATAGAATAGAATGTTTTATGTTGGAAGAGACCTCAAAGATCATCTGGTCCAACCTTTAACCTAGCACTGCCAAGACCTGTATTAAACCTTGCCACTAAGCTCTCCAAGTTTTTTCAAAGACCTCCAGGGGTGGTGACTTGACCACTTCCCTGAGCAGCCTGTTCCAATGCTTCACAGTGAAGAAGTTTTCCCTAATATCCTACCTAAACGTCCCCTGGCACAACTTAAGGCTGTTTCCTATTGTCCTATTGCTTGGTGCTTGGGAGGAGAGACCAGTCCCACCTTGCTACAGCCTCCTTTAAGCTAATTGTAGAGTGTATCTAAGTTGTATCTTCATATTCTGCCATGGAAAGGGAGTTTTCCATTCCCACTGACACTATTCTTCAAGCGGTGTCTTTAGTCCCTGAGTGTATTTGTGTGTTTTTGTTTTTTTTTTTTTCTTCTTCCTCAGTTTTAGGAACCTGGAAATTGTGTTAATTTTCGTCCGAGTTACACAATGTGAAGCACTTTTGCAGAGGTTTTTTAACGGCTGTGATGTCATGCTGTTGTATTTTGCAAATGCATTCAGCAAAATAAGGAGAAATGGAGTGCTGGAAATGCTTGTGAAATGGAAATATTTGTTCTAGAAATCATTGTTTCTTTATTGTTAATGGAGGAGTGATGGCAAAAAAACTAAGGTAGAGCAAAAAAGGCCAACAGCATCTTGGGCCATATAAAGAGGAGTATAGCCAGTGGATTGAGGGAAGTGATTATCCCCCTGTACTCAGTCAGCATTTGATAGATAACATCTATGATATTGTGTTGGTTTCTGGCTTTCCCAGTACAAGAAAGATACTGATCAGCTGGAGTGAGGTCAGTGAAGTGGTGCTGAGGAGGCTATGGGCTCTGGAGCACTTCCCTGGAAAAACTAAGGAAACTGGGTTTGTTCAGCTTCAAGAATGGCCTCAAGAGGTCCTAGAGCAGCCTGCCAGAACCTGTGAGGAGATTGTCCAGGAGATGGAGCCTGGCTCTTTCTGGCAGGCCACTGTGGGTGGACAAGTGGCAACAGGTGAAAATGAACCCAAGAGGTTTTGACTGCATGTTAGGGGGAAAAACAAACAAACAAACAACTTTTCCCCATGGGGACAGTGGGGCATTGTGACAGGCTGCCCAGAGAGGCTGTGCAGAAATTTCCTTGGAGGTTTTCAAGGCCTAACCAGATAAACGTGTGAGCTACTTTCTGATCTCAGAGGTGACCTTTAGCAGAAGGTTGGGCTAGGGAGCTCTGAACCTGAATTACCTCATGATTCTTTGAAATCTTTTGTCTCGTTAGCAAGAAACGTTGATTAATAAAAGGTAATCTTTAATCTATAAAGCCTTTGTGGGCTGCTTTGTCACTTTGAAGGAAAAGCACATGGTGTTTGGAAGTTCTGATTGCAGAGTATCGGGGACTGAGTTCGCCATTGAACAGGCACCAATCGACAAAACACAGGCACAAACCTAACAGCTGAAAATTGAGGTGCATTCATGTTTTATTAAATCCATTTTCTTACATGCATACTTCTGTGTAAGGAAGAAGAATTGAAAATTGTGCAGGTAAAAGCACTGTTTACTTGAAATCTGCACAGACCTTTAAGATCCCTTCCAGTCCAAGCCATTCTATGATCTAGATATGACCACATCACCACGAAAACATTGGTTCTGCAGAAGGAAGATGTGGATTTAAGCAGAGTAAGCTGTAGTAAAAACACTAACAACTATATAACTGCATCTCATTTATTAACAGTATTAATAATAAACCACCCAAGTGTGTTTTCCAGGGTTATGTTACTGTATGACCCATCTGAAATCACAGAATTGTTCCATGTAGATGTCTGTCTCAGAAAATATTCTTACTGTTGTTATTTACATTATTCTGTTTCAATGCCACATACTTCTGTTTTCTCCAGAGCTCTGGAGCTTCAGGCGTTTTCCCTTAAGCCTCTCCTACGACGAGCAATGGCGTATGAGTCCATGGAGCGGTATCGACAGGCATACGTTGATTATAAAACAGTTCTGCAAATAGACAGCAGCATACAAGCAGCAAATGATAGTGTTAATAGGTAAGTGCACTTCATACATTTTCTACCCATCAGTCCAAATAGAAAAATAGAATTCAGTTTTATTTGGGGCTTACTCACCCTCTGTTCTACATGCCTCAGACAGGGTCATCACAACTAGTGGACTGGTTATTTCATGTAGTTTTCCCATTGCTTCACCATTGTCATCAGCAGTAGGTCATTTTTTATTTCAAAAATGTATTATTTAAAAGGCTTTCTTCTGCACTGGTTCTTCAAATTCTTTTCTTTCTGAATTTGTTTGATGCAATGTAAAGTAATATTGTACTTCTCTCTTGATGTTCGTGTGCATATTAGCACTCTTCCTGTAGCAGTTGAAGATATATGTTGTGTTAATCCTCTATTATGCTGCAGTTGTGCAGGCACTGAAGCAGCTTGATACATTGATTGACTGCAAAGCTTAGAGGTGTAAAAAATAGAACTGAGTCTTATTTTTGACTTGATTTCTGATGCTTCCAACATTAGCTCTTGCTGCCAAGAGAGGTATTTCAATTTCTGAAACTATATTTTAATAGTTCACAATTGTGATCGTGTTTATAAAAATTATTCTCATTAACATATAGAAAGTACTTCTATCACCTTTTATTTCTGACCTGGTATCTGAGTGAATTATCGTACTCTTTTTTTTTTTTTTCCATTGGCTTATTTTAACTGCAGATATTCTTTTCATATTTCTCCTGACAATGACTTGTAACTTGCTTAGTAATAAGCTTATTTCCTTCTTCTCCCTTAACAGTCTTCCTTTTCTCCCCTCTAGGCTTCCTTTTGTTTTTAGCTTCACTGCTCATTACTCTTTCCTCCCTGGCAACCCATCACCTTATTTCAGCTGCTTCTTCCTTCTTCTCTTCTCTTCCGCTGGTAATTCATTTTTGCTTGCAAATTCTTAGTTTCGAGAGCCTAGACCTTCTGCATAATTGAACTTTTAATATAACTTACTTTTGAATTATTCATAATTCATAAATTAAATCATTGACCAATGTATCAATTTTAATTTCCAAAGTAACACGCCTTCTTAAGATCAATTTTAACCAAAAAATTGTAGTTACTCTACTGCCTTTTAACTTAATGGGACAACCCCAAAATAGCTCCATGAATTTATTTGGAATGTCAGGTCATAAAAGCATGCTTTTACTGGAGGATTTACTTGGTTTTAAGTTCCTGGAGGAAATTGGATAGTGATGTTGTAGGAAGCTGACAGATAAACTCATCTTCCTACTTCTGTCTGAAGGCAGGTTTACTAAATCTTGTTAAGGCTTGTCTTTCTGTCCTTACCTAGCTAAGAAGGCTTTCCAGAAATCTTAGAATCCAAGGGGTTTGGTAATTCAGATGATTCTCATGTAAAAGATGAGTAAAATTTTTTTAAGATCAAGCCTTTACCTGACCATTTTACAACCAAAAGAAAATAACAAAGAAAGGAATGTAAGTACATATTTTTATGAAAAGGTAACAGAACAAATATAAACAATTATTTGAGTGTTTTTCGTGGTTAGATTATGATCGGTCTTTTATTGGATATTCTGAGGTGACTTTTAGTTAAATTGAAAGGGCTGTTTCTTTTAATAGTCTGTGCCAAATCACAGGAAAATGCCTTTCAAGTACACTTTTAATTAGTGTCGTTTTACTAGCTCTGTAAACATCAGTGACTTTCTTTGTATTTTAATTTCCTCTTGCGTGATTGTTTTATTATTTGCTTTTCATTGTTAGAAATACACAAGCTCTAATGGGGGGGCAGTATGGTCATGCATTTCCATTTACTAAATTGAAGTTTCATTCCAAAATTCCCTCAACCTCTTTAATATCAGTTAGCAAATCGCATTAGGCAACTTGAGAACTTTTATTAAAAGTATGAGTATTGTAGTGTACCAACTATGTCTTTGTGCTAAATTCCAAAACTGCAAGGAGTTTGTTAGGTCAAGTTAGGGTGGTGGTGTTGGGGATATCTGTCACAGCTGTATTTGTGAGATACCCGTGCTTTGTGAAATTAGCCATGGTACACAGGTAAGCATTTTGGCCATTCTAAGAAGAGACTGCTCTATTACAAGAAATCGATTGTAAAAGAGTGTAGCATTCTTTCTGTTGAGCTTGATGAATTATATCAGGCTTTTTGTCCAACTTTTGAAAGCCATTACAATAAGTGGAGAACTGAACAGGAAGGAAGTGGGATGCTGGTTTACAGTTGAAACTGTTACTTTCTGTGAGAAGCACCAGAACAGAAGTAAATGGCTTTTTCTATAAAGTGTACAGTTTTGTTCTCTAATCAAGGAGAGAAAAAAAAAACGAGTAAATCTTAGAGCTGTTTAATTTATGATGGTATGCTGCGTTTTTCTTAACAATTGCATTTGTACAATGCTTTAAAAGCTTTTAGGAAAATTAGAGCAAAATAGAACTTGGACAAGCTTCTCAGTTGTTTTATAAAATACTACTTATTAATCAGCCAGATAGAGGAATGCCCTGAAAGGGCATGTGCAGCTAATACATAGAAAAATAGTCTTGTTCTCTTAAAAAGAGGTGAAACAGGTATATAATACTACAAGATGTGATATTCTGCATATGAAGAACTTAACTTTCAATTCAAAATGGTATGTTTTATGCGATACATAAAATTGCATGTTATCTTGCTCCACAAACAGTGTTTTTAATCTACGTCACTGAAATGCGTTGGTAATTTCTATTTTAGAATAAATGTCCACTTGGACATGGTTCTGGGCAGCCTGTTCAAGTTGTCTCTGCTTGAGCAGGGGGTTGGACAAGATGACCTCCAGAGTTCCCTGACAACTTGAACCATTTCACGAGTCTGAAGTAATATTAGAACAGATGCTGCTCCTTGTATTGGTTCTTTTTTCAGACCCAAATTGGAAACGAATTTAGTCCCAATTGCTTTGACTCTATTGCCATAATCTTACACTAAGGAACTTTTATTATTACTATTTTTTAGCCATTATTCAAATACTTAAAGAGAACAAAATCAAGGAAGAAAACTTTATCTGTGTTATTAATACTCCTTTTATCTCATTCATGTCACATTCAAGGGTACAATTATTTTTTTTGGAAGAGTATTCATGTAGTATGTTTTCAAACTTGTGTTAAATGGAAACACACCTATTACGCAAATTTCAGCTTATTGACTTCCATAATATCAATGTGACTTGCTTTACAACTGAACTGAGGATTTTTCTTTGTTAAAGCATATTGTTAGCTCTTAAGTTCAACTGGTGATAAGTCTAAGGTCATTTTGATATCAGAAGACTTGTATCATCATATTCTCATAGATTAATTCATGGTTTCTTGATTGTCTTTTAAAACACTGCAAAAATTTTAACAGAAATATTAAGACTTATATTGCTTTACTCATGTCTATATAGGTCTTGCTCCAAAACATATCCCAGCAAAGGGAAACTCCCACCGAAGTGCATTTTGAATTCAACCTCTCACATGTGGAAATAAATGTATTGGTTAAAGAAAGATTGAAAAGATCAAATATATTTTTCTTTGCATTTTAAAATGGGGATGAAGAATGATCATTTGAAAAATTTCTGATTGTTGTATAAAATGCAATTTAATATATACTTTATGACCTACTCTGGTTATCTACAAAATTGTTATGTAAGAGGTAGTTGTTTTGTAAGAGGTTTTTCTTGACACTGGCAAATTTAGGTACCGCTTGTACATCTGAGTGCATTGTATTTTTGTTATGCTTCAAATAACAACAATGAACACCTAAGAAAACTAAGCAAAAGAAATGTCTTTCCCCTATTTCCTTATTGCATGTTTCAGGCAGCAGCTAGAGCTTAGTTGCAAAATAAGACATTTGCTTAAGTATTTATAGATCTGGTTTATGTCAGTTTCTTGTCTCCTACATATTAGCGTAAGTATTGTAATTTTCTGTGGAAAAAGGTCTGAATCAAATAAATTAATTCAATGGAGTTGACTGCTATGACATTTTTTTCATTAGACTTGAGGATAACTGTTCAGTTGTTTGGGGGAAAATTGGAACATCGCATTGTTTAATTTGGCTGTAGTTTATTAAAGCATTAAATTTATGAAAAGTCGTGCTGAGAGGAGTTTTCTTTTTCAGAATAACAAAGACTTTAATTGACCAGGATGGCTCTAGTTGGAGGGAGAAACTGCCACCAATTCCAGTTGTCCCTGTCGCTGCTCATCTACACAGGTGGGATGGAGGATGTTTTACTTCAGAGGTTAAGCCAAGCAGTACTACAGATACCAACAGAGAAGAACAGTTGCAGATGAATCGTACGTATAGCTAATGCAAGTATATGTACATATAAGAAAATAATTTTAATTGAAAAATTGAATACAATTTAATAATGTCAAAGGAACATCTTTAGAAAATATTTACCAGATAAGATGATGGTCTTTTGTATGATTAGGGTTAATATGCCTTAAGGAACCACAGTGATGATAATTTTTTTAGTCCAGATGATTTAGTTTGTAGCAAGTAATTTCTAAAGCTATATAAAATATAGCAGAAATGCTCACTAGCAGTGTGTTGAGTCCTATCACAAATGATAGTGGTTTCCCTGACCTCATGCTACAGTTATAACATAGTTCCACCCCCTGCTCACCCCTCCAAAACAAACAAACAACCCTAGACCAATACCAGAAAGCCATTCTCAGTAACGTAATCCTCTGCGTAATCTGTAGCCATTGTTTAATTGTTCATGAAAGTATAATTCAACTCTTCAGGTAGACTGAACAGGCTACAGAATAACACTTCTGATGTTTTCTAGTACAGATTTCAACTTTGACCGTGACTATTCAGTAGTTGCCTTTCAAAACCGTTAGTTTAAGACTTTTTACACATATGCACCAAGTGCTTTATTCCTGAAGGAGACATTGCTTCCTCCTGATTTTTACACTTTTTTTTGAGTTTCTATTTTTTTCTACTCCAGTAATTCAAACGAAGGAACCCTTCTGATTCTGTTTTGTTATGTTAAAGATTCTTCTTGCGAAGTCTTTAGCTGTATCATTTTTGATTCTTACTTGACTGTTCATTGTTTCCCTTTTAAGTTTATCTTCAGTGCTACTTTTCTTTATATTGAAATAATCTCCCCTTGATTAAGAGAGGGGAGCCTGCAATGCATAGCTGCACTGTTGGCCAAGTACGTAGCATGTGGTTGTCTGTTCATAATCCATTATTGAAATCGCATGTGTCCACAAATACTTTGCATTCTTGGGCCCTACAAGTTTAAAGACTTCAACACTGTCTGAAAGATCATCTTTAAATTTATTTATACCTGATGTAGAACAACGAACAACTTACAAATGCATGCGTTTTTGAGAATTGGACATTTTTCTCAAGAATAAAGCGTTGTTATAGAAACTTAGAATAGCATTGTGTATGTGCGATCTATATAACAGTGCAAATTGAAGTATGGTAAACAGAAAACTTACTACAGAAAGCTGTTTTTTCCCTTAAGGAATGTGAAGAATATCAATGTATAATTTAAGTTCAATTAAATACATAACAATGTCACTTTTTAAAATTTTCAGTGACTTAAGTATTTTCATTACAGTTGTTGTCAGTGCATATCGTTACTGATTTATCACTCTTTAGGATTGGAAAGTAATTAGATTTAGCATTTATTTTTGAAGTACAGCAGAAAACTGATGTTTTGCACAAACGGGTTGCTATTAAACATAAATTGTTAGGTTGAAAATTGTTTTTGTTGTACTGATTGTACTCCAGACTTTCCCTGTTATTAAGGGTTGCAATTTGATGGTTTTTTTTATTTATTTCATTGTATAACCAACCTATTTAATCTAAACCTTTTAACTAGTAAGGATTAAATTTACATCTATATAACCTTGCGTAACAAATTTAGCTATCACTGTCTCCGGGGAGTGTGGTCAGCAGGATTTTGATACAAAAAACTTGTATCAATTTATTTCAAATAGTGGTCTTTATTTAGGTTTTGTTTTTAGAAATACCAAATGGAAGCTGTGTAACAGTTTTCTTTACTGAAGGCTGACTCAAAGATCGTGGTTGCCTTCTAGGACTTGTATTAAATCAGTGAGACCTCCCAGTAATAGCTGGCACTGGAAGCGTGCCAGCAATAACATTCAGTAATTATTTAAACATTATGCGTGGCTGACATTTTTTTTGCAATGATTGTGTGTTGGTTTTTTTTTTGTGTCCTAATAACTTGAGCTATAATTTAGTTATATTTCCTGCTTAAATCTGCTTTGCTTTCAAATTGTCGTTTATGATTTTCCCCAAGTCCGCATGTAGTTTTCTGGCATAGGAGACTGCCATATTATTTTTTTTTTAAAGAGCTCACTGAGCTTAATTATTGGTTAAAATGGTCTTCTTTATATGTAGTGTTTAAAACCTGAAGCTTGACAGGGGGCTCATTTTCTTTTAGCAAGGTACAGAAAATAGATTTTTCAAATATTATTTACTTGGAACTATGTTACTGATCTTTGTTTGCTCACACTTAGACATAAAACTGCTGTCAGGATTGGTTTTCCACTACAAACATAATGAAAAAATGTAGACTAACCTAGAAGCACATGTAACAAAGGATGTGGAGTTTAGAAGGAAAGAAAGTTATTGAAGAGCAACACAACATTTTATTTATTAATATATATGTGTGTGTGTGTGTGTATGTGTGTGTTTTCAGGTTACTCTGAAAGCATCTTTTTTATAGAAATCATTAACAGACTGTTACTGATGTATCACTAACCCCAACTGATGTGATTTGTCATTGTCAGTTTAACATAAAAATTATGATGGATAACTTGCTCGTAGAAAGAATACTAGGTGAAATTATGGTTTTGGTATGATGGTGAAGATCTAGAAGGCCTTTAATCCTGCTTATCAAATCTCCACCACTGTAAATAAAGTTAGTATATCAGTGGAGATGCATAATCCCTCTGTACCACACAGAACAGGTTGACAGGAAGAGGTAAAGGTGTAGAGCCGCCCATTTGCATTCACATGATTTTCAGCAAAATAGTTAACCTGGTGCATTGGAAGGTATATGTCGTGCCAAATGTGTGTATGTTAGTTCATGCCTTTCTTAGAGCAGCAGGGAGATCAGGAACACAAATTGTAATGTGCAGACTGGTAAAGATCCTCCAGATGCCAGGCATTTATTCCTAGTCTGGGTAGACTGCTCAGTTACCTTTAATGAACTGACCTTCTTAGGTAACACTGTGATCCTTTTGTAACATAGGTGAGAAAGCAGAGGAAGAGTTCAAGACATTAAAAAAAGAAGGGAATGAATTTGTAATGAACGGTAAATACGAAGAAGCTGTAAAGAAATATAGCGAATGTGTGAAGTTAAATGACAAAGAATGTACAATCTACACTAACAGGTAAAGATTTAAAATTTAATGCCCCCTTTGTGGGATAACAATACACTACATTTTCTTACTGCAGATAGAGATTTCTCATCACTTCAATAGCTATTGTAAAGAAAGCTTGTTTGTTTTTTTTCTGCTTGATGAGTGTTTCTAAGAAAAAGAATGATTTTTGGTTAAACAGCATTGCTTTCCAAGGGGAGCAAGTATTAACGTCACTGATATTTATATAAAGATTTTAAGGTATATGTAAAATAAGCTACAGTAGAAGCTATAATTAACATAGCGTATGCAGATTGTTTTTGAGAATGCTGGTATGATCTTAATTAAAAACTAATGTGCAGTAGCAGTATCTCAACCATGAAGAATAATAGTTCAGAGAATGGACATAGTGTGAAAGTAAAAGTAGGAACCTGGTCACACAGCAGCATTATTTTAAAAATTGACCTAATTCTGCAACATAATTCTTTATACTATAATCCTGTCGGCTTCCACGAACTAAGAAGGATTTGATTAGGCCAATACTTGAGTAGGAGACTTCCAAGTAATAACTAGGAACAGAAGGTAGTAGTGGTTATTTAATCTGGAGCACTTTTTTTACCCAGAATGGCTGCATAGGATCCATACTGTATCCATTACTGTACTATCATATTAACCTAAGATAGACTCTGCTTTTAAAACGTGTATGTACCTGCTAAACTTCAAGCATTATTCATACATAAATTTTGACTTTTTATTACAGGAATTGGCTTTCTCTAAATCCATCAAGTGATGTCATTAACACTTAGTGGTTTTGATGTAGTCTTAAAAAAAAGAAAAGAAAAGAAAAAAGAAAAAGATATTAAGATTGTGTGAAATATTTTAATTAACATTATGAGTCAGATACTGTTGGCACTACAGTACACTAGAATTTACTTATATTGCAGTGTATTCTGTTTTTCTGTGTTAGAGCTCTCTGTTACTTGAAACTGTATAAATATGAAGAGGCTAAGCAAGATTGTGATCATGTTCTTCAAATAGAAGATTCTAATATTAAAGCTTTTTATAGAAGAGCACTAGCGTACAAAGGATTACAGGTGAGGAAAAAGAACATGACAGGTATTCTTAAGCACTTCTAAACTTGCTTATCCTCTTCAAAGGCAATCAGGTAGTTAAAGTCAATGACTGAACACAAGCAACATATGCAGTGCTGATGATTTATTACTTTGTAAAGCATTAGGCATACATAAAATATACATATGTTTGGAAAATAAAAATCTTCATGTTGACTTCAGTAACTTGAGAAAAGACAAGAATATTGGAACAAATAAGCTTTGACTGGAGATTAGCTAAGCAAGTTTCAACTCTGTTCTAATGTTCTAATATACTTCTAGGTGTCACGGTGGTTTTTTTTCTGTCAGGGTGTTCACTATATCTTTGCTAACGACACACAGATTCTTTTCAAGTCTGTCTTCATCTGTCCAAACTAAAATCTCAAGCTGTCTTTTGGCATCTGCTCATATATAACTGCTTGTCAATGTTGCACCAGGCCTTTAATTATCTTTATTCTCTTCCCTCTTCCTCCTCTAAACACATTACAAACCTCTGTCCGTGAGTTCCTTTCTCACTCTGTGGGCAGTATGGGGACTGAACCTTTTATTTTCCATCTTCATGTTGAAGTTGTCTGTGCCGTCCCTGTCTTATCACAGTTTCTTGAGTATCATTTTATCTGACCTTGATAAAACACAATCTTATGTTGCTCGTATCCATCCCGAGTGTGACTGCAAATGTCATGTTACATCACTTGAACCGTCGTTTTGTCCATCACTGTTGGTTCCCCCTTCTTCACTGGGTGAGTTAACTGCTTTCTGTACTTCATAATTCCTTCATAGCAATCCTTACTCTACCTGTCAACTCTCGTATTGAACGATCAGCTTCTCATTGTTGTTGTCTCATGATGTCAGCTTTCATTATCTATTTTGTATTAGTTATAAGTGTCTTTAAACAAAGATCTTAACTGCTTTCTCCTGTGTTTTCTGTAATTGGAGGTGATCACTCCAAATATCCACCAAGTTCTAACAGCATTCTTCAAACGAATACTTAGATCAGAGCTCCCTTATGTTTGATGCCTTAACACAAATTCATTGTCACTCAGCCTACAAATCACTTGAGAACAGTTTGTGCTTATCAGCATACCTGACTATTCACATTTTGTGTTACAACACCAAATGTAGGTCTTAGTAACCATGAGAACATTTTGATGATAAATGTGTTCCTCCCTTTCAGTAACTACAAAATCTTTAAGGTTTCCTTTGATTAATTTTCAGAGAAGGTGAAAGTGTCTTCATTTTGTGTAAAATCATTTTTTGTAGCTGTTTAATCAGCTGTAACTGTATGTTGTTGGAGTTAATAACAAAAATAAATAAATAGTACAAATAGAAGCAGACAAATAGTGAATCTACTGGTCAAAAAAAATAACTACACATGAGTGAAGAATGTCAAGAATTGGAAAAACAGTTTAGCATTTTTTTTGTAGAATGACCCCCTCAAAAAAAGAAAAAACACATTTTGGTTGGATTTAGTGCCTTAATTACTTCAAGTTCTAGGGATGTGAGTGAGTGGTAATGCCAGAGGAAGCAACAAAAGTGATCTGGGGTTGACAGATGACTGTGTAACAAAAGATATTACTAACTAGATGTGTCTGTTTTGGCAAAGATGTAACTAAGCTGGAAAGTGTTATTTGTTTATAAATATCTGGGCATTTATTTGGCAAAAAGCTGCAGTGGAATTTAATGTAGTAAATTATTTTTATAGATTTACTGAGATGTAAAGGAAGATCAGAATGGAAATCATGCTTATCTGGTAAATTAGGCATATAACATGGGACGTGGGACTGGCCTGCACCTCCTACAGCTGATAGCCAATTCTCTTGCTTTTGGTACAACCATATCAAAAGAGTTTGTCACAAAATCTGGCAGGCTGCAGTTTGAAACCCAGGAGGACTGGTTAATTTCTGACTCTTGTTCTGGAACCTCAGTTCTCTGTAGTTGTGAATCTTCACATCTGTAGTTCAAATGGTTTATCTTAAACGGTAGCTTTTTTTTTTGATGCAAGCAGTCTGTCTCCTTCATGCTTCCATTTGCAGAGACTGAATAATTACGGCTTTCTTAACTCTTCGTTCAGAGTACAGCGAGCTTCGGTTCATTTACAGCCTTACTGCAATGTCTCTGCACCTTGAATACAATTAATTGGTATTAAACAGAATATTCTGGATAGAAAAGAGAATGAGTGTCTTGTAGACTGGTGCTTCAATTACAGTTAAGATGCTGAGGAAATACCTCAACTGATACATCAGAGGACTTTTTTTTAGTAGTAACATGAATGACTTATAAAACTTCGTGATACTGCTCGGGAACAGAAGAAATACTGGGTCCCTCACTTGAAGCAGTTGTGTTTCTGCATGTTTCATGTCCTTATTTTTGATACTCCAGTCCTCAAGGTATCTTTATTTTTTTCATGTGGTGTTTCAGCCTTCCTCAGAACTGATGCTGCTATTACCCTCATCTATCCAGAAAGTTTAATATAAAAATTGATAATACTTAATGCCCAAATTTGAAGTGAAAATAGTAAATAAATCACAAGACTGATCCTTAAGGAATTATTTGCTGATGTCATTCTGTCTCTTTATTTGTCCTTCTCTTGGGTATCCCAGAACTCATAATGTAATCTCAGTCTTCTCAAGTTTAACCAGAAATCTCCCATGTCAACCTGTAAGAGATTATCTATTGAAGCAATGCCCAGGAAGATTAGGCACATTTTTAACTTAAGTGACTCTCTTTTATTGTCAAAGCACGTATGCAAACTGTTGATTGTCTAGCATTATATTAATCTTGAGGAGGTGTTCCAGCTTTAAGCAATTATGCTTAAAAGCAAAAGTCTTCAATAAGCCATTCACTGATAAAAGGAAATGGTTTTCAGAGCATAAATTATTTCATAGTACATATTTAATAAGGAAGTCTTTCATCACAAAATACTCAAGTTCATCTGTGGTTTCACTTTTTTCTTCTTTAATGTAATTACACTGCATTTAGGTTATTTTTGTCTACTTAATGTCAAGACTCTAGCACTTCTATTTCTCTTAATTGGAAAGAACAATATGGTAATTTTAATTTATATTACTAATGGTGTGTTTCTGGAAAAAAATATTTTCCCTTTTACTTACAGAACTACCAAGCCAGTGTTGACGATCTCAACAAAGTCCTTCTAATAGATCCAAATGTGCTTGAAGCAAAAAATGAACTAGAGCAGGTAACCCAACTGCTTCACCTTGGCAGCAGCACTGTAACTGGCAGCCTACAAAAGCAAAGGAAGAAAATAAGCGTACAAGAGGTACATCTCTCCATTTTTAAAAGCAAGCAGTACAGAAGCCACATATTTGAAAAAATACTGTTAAAGATTTTGTTTTGTAGTCCTTAGCTATACCCTTTTTGAGGGTGGGGTTGTACTTTTAATGTTATTTTAAGGACATATTGAAAGATTCTTACATAAGATGTTTGGCATCCACTGTGTTCTTTAGTAAAGCTTGGCATGCTTTGAGGTACACTCATAACCACAGCAGAAATGAAAAAAAGTACATTTAGATGGCATTAAGCTTGAGCATATGCTCCTTGTAAACAAAAACTGCTTACTTTGGAATACCTATTTTACAGAATGCAGCTGACAAATAGCATGTTTGTCTTCTAAAGTCTGTGCTACTCAGGAAACCTCTGGCAAAGGTTCATTGTGAGCAGGCGTGCTGGCTGTTCTCGCCTTAGTAGTATAATTACTGGTCCAAAGAATAAAATCCTGCCTTAAAGAACAATGGTATGGGTGAAACATCTGTGCAATCTTACAAAAGAAATGCACGATGTAATGTTACATCCAGGATCAAAACATTAGCTTTGCGGAGTTGTGTGTTGGATTAGGTGATGAAGGGATTTTCTCAGTCATCTGATGGTTTTGGATTGTTACTTTGCTAGTCCTTTAAGAATGTTTTTCTTTTCCCTTTTCTGTTTAAAAGATGCAAGATGTACTCTACACAGCATGAAACTGAGACCGTAATTTGAATGTGTAATTTCACAATGGTGTTGTAACAGAAATTTTAATATGGAAACAACTTGTTTTATTGATACACTCACTTCACATTGTCACAAATTCATGGGATTTTCACATAACTGGTGTAAGCTGGGAATAGTGTTAGTTAAGCTGTGAGTTGTGACAAACAAAGGGACTTGGAGAGTGTTCAGAGGAGGTCTGGGAAGTGAAGGCATTGTTCGGAGACCAGCTAACTGCATTACTGGCAGCGGTAATTTTTCCAGGGGTGGGGCAGGAAGCATTTATGTTTGCTATCATAATTATAGCTGTCCCCTTAGAGAGCGTTCCCTGTCTTACCTACTGTAATACATGGGGATTCCGTGAAAACAGACTGCAAAGATAACTGAGGGAAATTTAATTAGAAATTGATTTATTATCATTATTGCACTTTAATCAAGCTATAATTGTATATAAGACAGATACCTCTGTGGATACTAATGATTTACTGACGAACAGAGCAAAAGCTCTATAAGCCCAGTGCAGTGCTCTGTGGAAATGACTAAGCAGGCTCTCAGCACAGCACTGATACTGTACGAGGCAGTATCTTCAGACTTCTGGAAAACCTTGGCATTAGCTGGAGAGATCCGCTGCAATGATTTGTTTTGGGTCAGTTTGTACTAATTCCATGACTCCTGATGGTTTTAAATGGATTTTAGCAAATGTAGTTGATCCCAAGGCAAATTTCCTTGCAACCGCTTCATGAAATTCAGTACAGGCTGCAAGCTCTGAAGACATTAAGTGGATATTCATGCAGTTACACCATGATGAGCTTTCTGCTTCCACAACAACTCAGAACAGCAGCCTGATGCCGCTGCCATGTGCCTGTACTATTCTGAAGTCACGGCAGTAAAATGAAACACTGCTGTCTGGGGGCTAAACTTCAGTTCTGTCTGTGTTCTGCAACTTCACGTTTAATACATGCATACAGCCCTCCTTAGTGATCTCCTGCGGTGCCTCAGATGTCTTTCTGCAATGAAAGGAAATGTAAAATACACACTTTTGACTAGAAGCCTGTAAAGATAAATTAGAAAGGTACCATTCTGGGAGGGGGGAAGTAGGATATAGAGAAAAACAGGAGCCTTTCTTTTACGAAAAGTAAAATGTTAACTATAATGAAGTGACATTACTATTGAATATATGCATGCAGCTTATGAAATCAATGAGTTGATGCTATTTCTTCTGTGAAGGTGACCGAATCTGATGAACAGGAGGAGAGGCAGTTTGCTGCATCAGAAGATGTTGTAACTGATGATGATACTTCTAAAGAAGCGGTTCAAAAGAGCACGCTGTTGAAGACTTCTGAAAAACTGACAATTTCCGAACCATCTAATGCTTACGACTTCGGTCAGGTTATAAATGTAGTGAATGCCAATAAGGATAAAGTTGCTTGTGCAGATCTTCTAACAGTTACTGATCCCAAAAAATTACCAGTGCTGTTAAGTAACAAACTTGAAGTAGAGACCTTTTTGATTTTTATCCAGTCATTGGAACATTATGTACTTGGAAAAGATCCCGGTCTTGTATATCAGCATCTTTTCTACTTGAGCAAAGCAGAGAGATTTAAGGTAAGAACCTAGGTTGAATGAGTACTTAAGTTGAACAGAAACTTAGAGGAAATTTTCATATTTCAGTAGGAAACAATACAGTCACTGCTTGTGCTAATTATAAAATAATCTCTTTTCTCAGGTGGTGCTGTGCCTTCTTAGCAAAAACGAAAAAGAACAGGTTCAGCAACTGTTTGACTTGCTTGCAGAAAACCAGAATCAATACTCTTCAGAAGATCTTGAGAGCCTTAAAAAGGTTTACGAACTTTAAGAAGAACTTAAGTTAAAATTTATTTGTTGCATGGATATAGTTGATGTTTATGAAATAGCTGTATAAACACTGCAGTCTTGCACAGGTTGAAATGGGTCTTTATGTGGACTGTTTAGATTCTATTTTGTTCTGATAGTACATGCATATTTAAAACTTGCTGCTCTTTTGTAGTTGTATACATTTTTAATCTCTACAGTTTAATGCATGTCTTTATGTTCAGTAACAGAGTTCAAGTTTGGCATATTGATTTTATTTAAACTTAGATAAAATGTATATTTTACATTTATATATAATGTAAAATATCATGATGGTACGATAGATAATATACTTTTAGTCATAATTTTGTGGGTTGTATGTTCTTGTGATAAAGAAGTGTCCTCAAGTTAAACGGGTCAGTTAGCAATAGCTTTGCTAAAAATGAGTTTACAAAAAGTATAAACATTTTTCAGATAAACTACTACAGACCATCTGTTTCTTCACCATCTGATCTACACAAAACAGTTTTAAATATTTTGGTGCAGTACTGCTTAGCAGCAAAGGTGAATGAATAATACATTAGCTTGTCATGGAAAACTTTGAATCAAAATAGTTAATTATTAAATGAATGGATATGTTTTTTTTTAAATGACGAACAAACGAATAATTTTTAGTGCACAGAGAATTATTTATTTTCTCTGTGTGTAGAAGGATTGCTGGTTTGCACAGCTTTTAGAGTAATAGTGGTGAAAAAGAGAACAAGTGGCTGCACTTAACATTAAAAAATATTTAACTCCGAGATATGTAATCAGATTTAAAACTCCGGGTATTTGTGTTTGCAGACATATCCATAAAGCTAAAACTGCTTTGTGGACCAATGTGATTTTTGTTTTATTTCAGGCAGTACTTATGTTTTATGCATAATTTAGACAAAGCTGCATTTTTTTCAAGACTAAGCTTAAAAGTTTTTCAAATACTCCAATGCCTTCTTTGCACATGAGATATAAATCTGTTGAACTCACAAGCACTGCAGCAGTATCATTAGGGTTGTTCTAATAATATATATCTCAGGTGTATATTAATTAAAGTTTTTTTCTTGAAAAGTTCAGGTTATGGATTCTTCATTTCCAGTTCTACACTCTTCAGACTTGTAATTCTGACATGGCTTATGAGTTTTGTCTTGAAGTAGAATACTAAGAATGTGGCTTTTAATTCCTAAAACACTGTCAGCACAACTGATGCTTCTTGTCCTTAAATGTCCTCTATTTGTGAGCTTGTCATGTGTCCAAGAGAGCTCTCTGTAGGTGATCTAATCTGTGCATAACCAATTGTACTTATTCAAGGAAGCACCAGGCAGTTTCTTCTTCAGCTGTAGTGGCAAAGATATTCGTGTTCACTGACTTCTATTATAATGATTTCAGTCACTCCTGCTGTAGTTCAGTATGTCTGAGAAAACTTTGTATGTATGCAGCTTGCTGACATGGTTTGGGACTGAGAGCATTTTGTTTCCATTCCATTTGTAGAAATGCAATACAATTTAAATTATCAGGTTTGTAGGGATTGGCGTGGAGACATAATTCTTTAATAAAATAAAATACTGCCTTCTGCAGCAGAAATACAGCTTTACTACGTAGATTATCCACATTTTTCCATGAGTAACTTTTTTGTTTCTGCAGCTTTGTTTCAAGTGATTCAGCTTTGGGGCTTGCAGCTTTTGAATGAACAGAGCTGAAGGTGGTGGTAAATTACACATTTTAAGAATATTTTGTTGATCAATGCAGTATGTTCCTTGTAGTTCCTGTCTGGCTGTCAGCATATTTTTCTCATAAAATCCTGCTGAAGTTTTTCTCCAGTGTTTATAGAACACTTTTTCTCACTAGAAACAGATTAAATTATTAAAATTACTGATTTTTAAAACGAGTATTTCAACATCTGTGTTAGGGAGGGTGTTTTACTGAAGATTATTTACATAGCTAGTTGTAAGGTTCCTATAATACTGAGGAAAATTATCAGAATGCATCAGAGAAACCCTGTTAGTGGAAGGGAGGAAGAACCCAGCCTCTCTATGCAAAAAGATTTTGGTCACTGTGACCCATGAAGAACAATGCTGGACTCTTGCCTCTGTAGGTTTCACAGGAGCCAGTGACCTAGGTCTGAGCACAGCACATCTCTGTCAGGTTCATGCATATACCAAAGGTAGACGTGTGGAAAATTATTTGAAGAACCATTGTGACATTTTCTATCTAATTCTATCTATTCAAATCTATTTATCACATGCTGACATAAAATATTAATTACTGATTTGTGTTTGCACCATTCTCCTGCATTCTACAACTTCTCCAGCCTTAACTCGTCCCAATTTCAGAACCACAAAATGGTTTGGGTTGGAAAGGACCAACCCAAACTGTATACTACAAACTATACCCCTATTCCAGGTGGGGTATAGCCAAAAAAGCAATGTGCTTCAGCCATCTTCTTGGAACAGGAGAAGCATCAAAGGGCCACTATTACATGAAGTCGGGTGTTCAAAAAGATAAAAGATATTTAAAAATCCTATTTCCCTAGCATCTTTAGTGGTGGAAGGGGGAAGTGTGGTTATCTGAGGAAAACTGTAAAGATCTGCTAAGTTGAGGAGATACATTAGTAATGCATGGATTAGAAAAAAGTCATTTTACTGAGAGGAGCATGAAATCCAGCTAGGTAATTTTAAAATAGTTGTTTGGTAGCTGTAGTTGAATAAAAGGTGATGTCAGAAGCCACAGCACAAAAGCTTTTGATGAAATTAAATCCTTCCCTGTGTCTTCAGAAAAAAAATACCAAAGATCCAAGTACTAAGAGCACGGCTATCTTCTAAGATGTAATTTTGACTGAAAATTGACTGAAAGCCAAAATTACCTCTTGATAAGAATTGTTAGATGAAGAACCACAGCAAGTGAACCAGTTGCCCAGCTGGCAGGAGGGAGCCATCACCAACTGCAGTCAGAGCTTTGTGTAAGTCAGTAAAAGATCAAATAATAAACATCCTGATCTGAATAACCAGCACCTTGCTCTGAAGCTTCCCATCCTCCAAAGTACCGAGCTGGTTGTTAGTTCAATAGACAGCGGCAGGACAGGCCGCAGCAGAAAACTTAAACCCAGCACTAACTAGGTATTCAGCAACACAGGGTTTTTGATTTCACTTTTCAGTTTAAGGCAGGCTCTAAGGTTAGCCCAGTTTTGGTTGCTTCTCTGTCCAAAAAGCTGATTCACTACAAGGACATCATCACCATGCTTTTTTTGTTCTTCCTTCATACTGGCAAACCACACTCCTTGCTCTTATGTAGGAAGTTTTTTTTTTTTCCTCTAATCAGGAATCCCATAATCCATGAGCATAAGAAAGGGGTTACTTACTCTTTGTGTCTGCCAGGCCTTGCTGAAGGGTGCAAGCTGATCTATTTAGACTTGGTTCTTAAAATACACAAACTACATATTCTGAGCAGCAGGAACAAAACTCCTTCCCCACTTGTAAATCAGGATTTATGACTTGAGTCAACAGAACGCAGAGGAACCAAAATAGCAGAGTGCTGCAGCAGCATGGGACGCGATGTGCAGGGTTTTGGAAACACCAGTGCCCTTTAAAATGCTCGATGCAAGAAAGCACGATAATACAAAACCAACAGATTGAAAATGAGCTGATGTGAATGGATTTTGTAATTGTCCGCCTCCAAAAAGAAGGGACTGTTAAACCCACACGAGGCAGGGAGGTGCTGCCTCCTGGCCTGAGTGCAGCCCTGTGGTCTAAATATTATGCATATTAAAAATGCATAATATGTACATCGATTCTGCCTTCTCGGGAAAAAACTATATATATATATACACATACATATAATATATACACACACACATATATATAGTTCTTAAACTATGAAATCCCTGACAACTCAGCAGTTCGGGTCTTGACTCTAAAATTTTCAAGTCTCACAGTACAGCTATACTGCTGCTCCTAGTAGTCAAGGGTACCTTGAGTGCCTCTGTTTTGATCTAATCAAGTGTGGCAGCTCAATTGCCAGGTTAAGCAAGCCATTTTAGCACTAAGGCCATCTGAATTCGATGATGAGGAGGCCTAAAAGCAGCAACTCACAGAGGCTTCCTGCAGCACAGCCCCAGGGTTGCCAGGTGCCACCTGCTCTCATTCTCTTCACAGGGGACCCTTTGTACAGCCCGAAGCAGGGACGTGGCTGTGCGCTGAACTCCAGCTCATTAAAAAAAAAGGGGACTAACGTGTCCTGGTCAGGACTCGTCTCAGCACCTTTTTGTGCCCACTGCAACACCAGCTCATTGTGCCTCAGAAGATCACGTGCATGAAGCATCAGATCCACTAAGAACCTCTGCCATTCTGGAAACGTTTAAAATGGCAACTTGAAAGCTGTAATTACAACTTAATCAGCTCCCAGCCAAGGCAGAGGTATCACAAAACGTTGCTGCCTTTAATATTGGTGTGCCATCGCTGCTCATCTGCAAGGAAACAACGACAAAAACAGCTGAGCAGTTGCTCTCCTCCCCCTCCCCGCACACGTTCACCTCCCAGCTCTCTCCTGTCTTTGGCATCTTCTCATTTCTTGAGACCAGAGCGATGGAGGCAAGGATGCCCGTGCCAAACACTACCAAGCTGTTATCAGAGCACGCCTGCGCACGCTTTCCAAGCACCTCCTCAGGAGTGTTCCTTATTTTCACCTCTTCTGTGTTCCTTATTTTCTGCTCCTTTTTCCCCCTTCCCAATATGATTTGGCTTAAATATTATTGCGTACATTTAAGTAGACAATTTCATGATGTGTAACGTTTTCTTTTCTCCTACTGAGGCAACTAAAAATCAATCAATCCCCTAAACACCTAGAACAACAGAATTTTTATCCGGAAGCTATTTTTAAGTTCATTAACTCCGCTTAATTTTTCAACCGTCTCCTTGGTTATCCTCATAAAGCATCATTACCCATGGAAGCGATGGCAGTACTCAGTAGGCAACTATTTAAAAATGATTTTGGAGTTGCACAATGAGAAATTACTGGGAGGGAAGAGACATAACGTCAAAGTCGAAAATGTTTACCAATCAGTTTTTTAAAAAAAAGAAGCTTGTCCTTTCACGCACACAATTTAGTGACACCGATTCAATGAAAGGAAACCATGTACAAGCCCAGCTGCTTTACTCCAGAAAAAAAAAAAAATAAAAAAAAATCTGCAGACTGGTCAGAAAGCTTACACAGCAGTTCTTAGCTACTTAAAATTGCAGCGCTATCTCGAGTACTCCCTGATATGGCAGAGGTTAAAAACAATTTCCGCGAGATTCATCATCTGTCATAGATCAGCCAAACTGTCCAGGAACCATGAGTCAGAATAGTTTGGGTGGGAAGGGACCTTAAAGATCATCTGATTCCATCCCCCTGCCATGGGCAGGGACACCTCCCACCAGCCCAGGCTGCCCAAAGCCCCATCCAGCCTGGCCTTGAGCACCTCCAGGGATGGGGCATCCACAGCTTCTCTGGGCAGCCTGTGCTCACCCTCTGAGTGAAAAATACTGAAAAACTGAGAGAGCAGGTGGCTATTTCAAGGGAATTGACTTCTCCTGCAGTTTATTTCAGGGCAAGAACAAACCCGTTGCTTAAGTGAATTTCTATTTCAGTAACTCTATAAATGAGAGGCATCTTCTCCTCGATGCACTTGCAGCACTTCCATCAATACACTGATATAGCTTTTATTTTTAATAGATTCCAAACAATTCAATGCTGCATTAAATTTAAATTTATTAGACAGTGCTGTTTGGATTGCTTCACATATGAAATATTACCTCTGAATAAAAGATGAGTCTGCACAACTGTGTTCTGCTAAAAAAAATACTTCATCTCTATTAACTACATTTTAATGTGACTATAAATTATCAAAGATGGTTTCAGAGTGACTGAAAACAACGCTATCATTTGATAAACCTTATTTACAAGAGCGAGCCATGTTTTCAATTTCCTGCACAGCACAACAGAGGCACTGAGAGATTGCTAGGTTTAAGTTCACAGAACAAAATACATCCTCCAGTTCTCTGCTGCAAGCTTTAGATTGCATTACTGTGAATTGATGTGCTCGTGTCATTCCATAAACACACCGGACAAAGCCAGAGCAGACATCTTCAGAGCTGGAGACACCAGCGAGGAGTCAGGTTAACAGCAAACGCTTCGGTTAATGCTGGACCTAATTCAACACCTTACTCTTCAGTAGCACCGTATTTTTAAAAGCATTCAGACTGAGGGGAAAAAAAAAAATCAGTCCAAAATAAAGCACTAAAGAACGTTATCCTCCACATAAAAGGCACCTGACGCCATGGCAAATATTGCCTTTATGCCTTGCTTCCATTCCTAGGGCACGCTAGGTTTCACTCAGCCCAGTTTTTGTTCTCTCCTGGAGTATCTCCTATTGGAGACAGTATAAAAAACTCGATGCTTTTTAATGATTTAGAGTTGACCCAGCCTAGTTATCTCATTATTCAGTCTGTTATCAACATGGCTTACGCATGGGTTAGGGATCCGTGCGTCACAACACCCCAATCAGTTTTATTTATTTATTTATTTATTACTTCCTGAGCCTGCCAAAGTGCAGGTGAGAAAACAAACCTAATGAACACTAGAGCTCAACCAAGAAATACCATTTTTTAACCATAAATACAGGGCAATCTGCAGTGTTTCACAACAAACATCTTACAGGCTGTGTGGGTTGATGAGCCCCCCTTTAGATAGAGGAGAAATCAGGGCTCAGCCTAGCCCAGCAATCCCACCACAGCCTGTCCACTTCTACCAGACGGTGCATTTTTAAATGGAATGATTTGCTTGCCAGTGCCACATCCTTTCTGAAAACCACTTACTGCCCGGACTGCCCTGCAGGCAGCTCAGACTGACCTTCAGCATGACAACAAGAAATGAGGCTGAAATCTTGCACAAAAACGCAACCATCTTCAGATCTTGTATCTCCAAGTATCAACAGCACAACCTCCAAAGCACGCCAAACAAAACGAAAACTGAAGGGAAAAGACGACAGCAGTCAGCACCTCACAGGCAGAAGTGCCCTCTGGGAACACAGACATTTGGACAAGGCCATCAGCACGCTAAACCAAGGACCACCAGAAGTCAGTATTTAGACATTTATTTCAGATATGCAGTTTACACGCATATTATTGAGCAAAACTGAATTGCAAATATACAAATACTGTAACAAGCATTATCAAATAACATAACTGGCACTAGTGTTATAAGCATATTCATGAAACTGGTGAGGGTAAGTCATGGAAGAGGACTGCAGCTCATGGCATTTTCTTTTTATCCAACCAAACTTCCAGTAGCACCATAATGGCAATACATGAAACACAAGACAGAACATCGTTAACTGTTATTCTGATATTCACAATTTCTTTTCCCATTTTTAGTGATTTACATAGCAAAAAAAAAAAACAAAACAAAACAAAAAAAAAACATTAACAGTGCAGGCGCTTTGGCCAACTTCAGCTTGTGTTCAGCTGTACATCTTCCGTATGCAAAAGAAACAAACAAACAAAAAAGCCAGCATATTTGGAACCCATCTTTGCACGTGGGCAGTCATTGCACTGCACTCTGATTCGGGGACTGCAGGAACGCACGCCTTGCAAGGAGATGTCATGTGAACGTCATTCACGAAAGCCTGAGTGAGTCTTTGGTAGGCTAATGCTTTATCATTATTATACATTTATCTACCACAGTCATTTTATTCACTAGGATTTTCTTTTGTGATTGAAGGTGGCCAAAGAGGACATTCTGGAAAACATTACAGTAAAATCCTCAAGCGACCAGGCACTTCAAACCCAGTCTTTTCCGAAGGCACCGAGAATTGATGGGGCACCAATTTTCCCCCCTCATGAAAGGTGACTGCATCTGCTTTTCTACAATGCTTATAAATCAATGGACTGTTACTCTACAGGTTTTACACAATATATAGTAGCCTTATCTGCCGCATGGTTGGTTGCATGAATAAACAAGTGACCCCACTGCTCTTCATGGGTGATGTCTCCATTCTGCCACGCATTAAGTACCAATTTCTTCTGTTTCAAAACCATATAAAATGCCGTAACCTTGCTCAAAGTGTACACGCAAACGCTTCTGACACAGGCTACATCCACCTGAAGACACGCGAGTCGTTCTACGTGCATTCTAAATAGTGTGTCCAGTTATGAAACAAAATGATGCTCATGAATATTCACTGCTGAAAGGTGTTTGGACAGGTCTCTGCAAAACTTTTGCTTCCCTTAGAGTTCACACTAGAATGGTTTTAAGTCACTAATGCTCAGCTAACACCCATTTATCCCAAACCCCATATTTTTCAAGTGAACAGTGCAGGACATAGTATTCATTTTAGCATTTAACATTAACGATTACCCAATTTTTTAATTTTTTTTTTTTTTTTTTTTACCTAAGTACACCAAGCATATGCTTTCAAGCAAAGTCGTGGCAAAAACAAAAAAAAAACATGGATGTATTTGTACTGCTGTAATGCACTTGTTAAAGCCTTCGTGCCCCTTCACACAGGTCTAGGATCCATATGAAGTACTCTTCTTTATTAGACAGGTATATATAAAATACAGTTGTATCAAAACCTTGCTTCTGCTGGTCACCTGAAACTTAACGCAAGTCATCGCATTGTAATTCAACCAGCTTTCAGGCAGGGTTCATTAGTGGTAAATACGTTTTTGCAGCACTTTTTGGCTTAAATTTCAGTCTGAATAGCAGTGCTCAACTCCGCAGCATGTTGCGAATGGTTGTTGTTGGTTTCTTTCAGCGTTTCCCCAGCACCTGGATCTCCATCCGTGGCAGAAGCGTTGTTCACGCCTTCCTCGGCGATGTAACTCAGCTGGGGAACGTCAGTGCTCGGGGCTGCGGGGACGGGCGCAGGGATCCCACTCGCCTGGGGGGAGTTTTCCAAGCGGTCGTTTTCCACCTCTGGGAGAACACTGACCGTGGTAAAGCGCGTGTGATAGTCGCTGGAACCGTGGCTACAGGAAGTTTTCATACTCTCCATATCTGAGCAACTGAACTCAGAAAAGTGACTCGAGTGGGAATCTGCTACGGATGGAATACTATCGCTAAGAGAGGGAGAGTCAAATTCACTGGAGTTTGTGCTTTGTTGTTCCAACAGCTGGGCATCCATGTCCTCCCTTGTCTCGTTTATCTTCATGCTGCTTTTCTTTCGCAGCTTACCTTTACATTTTTTTCCTGCTGTTGTTTCTTTGGACCACTTGGTGGCACTCGATTTACTCTCTGGCACGCAGGCCGAGGAACAGCCAGCGTTACTACGACCCGCAGCACTGCCGTCGTCAACGCTGCTGCTTCCACTGTTGTGTCTGAATTTGGCTGGCTTTGATTCAATATCCACTTGTACTTCCATACTGTTGCCTTCCCTAGAACAAGAAAACCTGTCAGTATATCTGGTCATCTAAGACGAGCCAGCCAAAGCAGCCAAACAAACTCCTGCTGCTTTCCAAAATACAGAGAGCAGAAGAAAGTTACAGCAATGGGACTGATTTTAGGAAAAGTATTCAACCAAACAAACAGCCCAAAGAGAAGCACACAGTCTGAAAGATCAAATGCTTTCCTGAGCTGCACTAATTGTGTGTTCCTCTTTGGAAATAACCTTGGCAAATACAAGCGATCATACATAATTCAATTTCTAACAAAAAAAAATGTAGTTTCAAAGTTTTAAGTAGATCAGATGAGGCATGCTTAGAATATGCTTTAATAAGCAAGGTTTATCCATCTTCTGTTTTCAGCACATTTCTCTTACCTGTCCAAAGGGATATAGGAGTTCAGAATGGATCCTGCCATCGCTTTGGTACTGGCATTATCACTAACTGTTCCCAAGCTCACTGTGCCAGATTCTCCACTCAGACTGTATCGTTCTTTCTGCACATCTGCTTGTACTTCCAGTCTTGGAGAGAAAGAAAATAAGAGTTATGTATACTGCTACTACAGTTAAAGCACCCTAGTTGAAAATTACTGTCACCTTGTAAAATTTCTCCCCCATTCAGTAGTAAGCACAGTTTATTAGTTAAAACCCCAAAATAGATGAAATTCCCAGCAGAGCAAAACGTTGCATTGTAAAAACAGTTTCTGGATGCTTTCCTCCCTGAGGTTTACAATAACAACTTTCAGACTAATCTACAATTTTTTTGCAGATAACATATGGTCCTCTTAAAAAAATGGAGAAAACAATCAGAAATGATCAGAAGGGTACGCAAGTTCAAGACAGTTCCCGTGTTTTCACAGCTGCAAATTATTACTGATGAAGTAACTGTCAGAGAACTCTGTTCTCCACTCTGCTTTATATTGCATTTTATTTATTGCAACAATTTCCTTTTTCTACATAGCCTGCACTTCTGAGTTACTTAAACCAGGTGCTAAATACTACTCATTTTCTTAAGGAGCTAATTCTATCCTGATCCCTAAAAAGGAGTATTCTTTCCAGACACTCCCTGTCTCCTCAGCATACAGGACAGCCAAAACGTACAGTAAGACCCCAATTAACAGAAGGCACCAAGCACCTAGGTAACAGAAAGCTGTCACCTGGGCAAGGCTGAGGTGCTCCAAAGGGACAATTTGGTATTTGATGATTTAGTGAACGTGCCAGAAGTCCTGACTTTGCCATGAGATGCACTGAGACAACACAACCGTGGCCTCTAATAGGAGAGCTAAGTGTGAGGTGCCTCCTGGGCAGGGGCTGCCCTCATGGGAAGCAGGAAAAAAATGCAGACTCTTTGAAGACCGTGATCTAGCAGGATCTTTTGGATACCAATAAGCTTGTCAGAGACAAATTCTATCTCAGAGACAGTGCCTTTTAGCAGGAACCACATACATTGAAAAAAAAATATAAAGAAACCTGGTAATACAACATCCTCTGCTTACATTAAGAGCTGGACCCTCTGTGTCAGGAAGGATGTCCCTTACCTGTTAAAGCAGTTAACCATTGCACTTCCTGAGAGGCTCCCTGTTATACTGGCTCCAGCCAGGGCCATGGTGCTAGCAGTTTCGCTGAGATTGTCTCGGATGGCTCCTATTCTGTCCATGTGGCTACCGCTTGCACTCAAGCTGCCGGTCAGTCCCCCGACGCTCCCTTCACCTATACTGGGGTTGTGGCGCGCCTCTGCTACTGAAGTGGTGTCTAGACAGAAAGGAGGAAGGCTCGTTAGTCATGGAAGCACAACTTACTCGTTTCTAGAGCATGACCATGGAAACTGCCCCTGGAGTTATGCTGAGAACAAGGATTTATAAACTAAAGTAACTTTGTTAAAGAAAACTGGACCTTTCTTGGGGTTGCTATCGTGGTTATGCCTGGTATGACATAGTAAAGACACTGAAAAGTTAACCATAGGATATGAAATATGGAGTCAAGCAACACAGGGAGACGCAATGTCAAAGGATATTGCTAAACAATTTAAAAAAAAAAGCACCAGAACAGCAGCTACAAGCATTTAGTTCTCTATTTATGGACAAAAAGATGAAACTCAGCAAGCTTGCACAAAGCAGTATTCTGAAAAAAGAAGCTTTGATTTTATCTTAAAGCTTTTACCCATAGAATGGACATTACATAAGTCTGGCTTTGGTTAAAATGGTCAAGCAAAGCTTTAATGCATCACTACTTTGAATTTGGATTCTGACAACTGACTTTAAAAAAAAAAGAAAATATATTTCCATTTGTGTTTTTTTTTTTTTAAAAAAAAAAGATCATTTAATCATTTTTAACATAAGATTAAGCTGTGAATACGCTGTCCTCCATTTCTATACTTCTGTGATCTTGCTGACTATTAGAAAGGAAGTAAAATAGAAGTGGGATGCTCAGTTACCTTTCAGTCATACTAATAGAAGTGCAAGACTGGATTCTAGAAAATTAAAATTTCCTACTCTTACCTTACACCTAGTGCTGTGTCAGAAGCAGGACAAAAACACAAGAAGACTGTGATTGCCTCGCTCTGTGTCCAAATGGGCAGGTGCTGCATTACAGCACAGCAGAACATGAACACAGAGCAGCTACCCTCTGCATTCTGGGTATCTGAGGCCATCGAATACAAGTCACAAAGCCTCAATTTACAGAAAATGAAACCTTTTTCTTACCTACAGCTGCATTTGTCCCACCAACGTTTATATCATTTTCATCGTCAAATTCTATCCTGACACCTTTCCCGTTGCCTGCCGAAACGCCACAGCCTCCACTCCGGCAGAGGGAAATGGGAACGACTCCGTACACGTACGCCAGCATAATAGGAACACCAATACCTGCAGAGGAAAATACCATCCTTTATTAAACACAGCTTATGTTTTGCACTCTCTCATACCAGTGATCTCATAGTCCACAATTACTTAAGTAATTCACACCTGAAAGAAACCAGGAGGGGGCAAAATTAAGAGGCGCTGATAAATCACTAGGCTGAAATGACAGCAAAGTACTTTCAGCAGCCAGAAGAGTCCTCTCTCAGTATCAGTAGGTAGAGAAGCATAACTAATACTTCCAGTACATCTGGAACATCTTTTATAAACAAAATTAAAATATTTCATGTTTAAAGTTCATGCAAGTTCTATTGGATTTTGCATTCACTGGAGTCAGACAGGGCTTGGCGATTGATTTAATAGGACTTAACATCATTATTAGCATAGGATCTTTTATAATTTTCTGAATCACACTAATTCCATTTAAGAATTATACAAATTTTCCTTCTGGAGGCCATGTGGTAACGGCAGTGGGGCAAGAGTAAAATAAAAAGAGCAGGTTTGAGATCACCCTGATGAAAATAAACAAGAATAAGTCTATGGGGCCTGATGCCATGCATCCCAGGGTCCTGAGGGAACTGGCTGATGGAGTTGCCAGGCCTCTCTCCATCGTATTTGGAAAGTCCTGGCTGTCAGGTGAAGTCCCTGGTGGGGGCTTACCTGGACTAGCTAGGTAAGTGGGCCCATGTGAGCCTCACGAGGTTCAACAAGTCAAAGTGCAAGGTGCTGCACCTGGGTTGGGGCAATCCCAGACATGAGGACAGGCTGGGAGAAGAACCAAATCACTGAGAGCAGCCCTGTGGAGAAGGACCTGGGGGTTCTGGTGGATGAAAGGCTCAACAAGAGCCAGCAGTGTGTGCTTGCTGCCCAGAAGGCCGACTGCACCCTGGGCTGCATCAACAGAGGAGTGTGGCCAGCAGGTCGAGGGAGGTGATTGTCCCCCTCTGCTCTGCCCTTGTGAGGCCCCACCTGGAGTGCTGTGTCCAGGTGTGGAGCCCCCAGCACAAGAAGGATGTGGGGCTGTTAGAGAGGGTCCAGAGGAAGGTCACAAAGATGATCAAGGAGCCAGAGCACCTCTCCTATAAAGAAAGGCTGACAGAGCTGGGGATGTTCAGCCCGGAGAAGAAAAGGCTCCAGGGAGATCTCACTGCAGCTTTTCAGTACTTACGAGGACTTATTTAAAAAAAAAAAAAAAAAAAAAAAATGGAAAACAACTTTTTGCGTGGACAGATAATGACAGGACAAGGGGGAATGGTTTTAAACCAAAAGAGGAGAAATTTAGATTAGAGGTTAGAAGGGAATTCTTCGCTCAGAGGGTGGTGAGGCCCAGGCACAGGCTGCCCAGAGAAGCTGTGGATGCCCCATCCCTGGAGGTGCTCAATACCAGATTAGACGAGGCTCTGAGCAATCCAGGTGGCATCTCTGCCCAGAGAGGCAGGGGGTGGAACTAGATGATCTTTAAGGTCCCTTCCAACCTGAGCCATTCCATGATTCTACAATCCTAAAAAGCTCCACAAAATAAAACCAACTTCTTTCCCTAAAAAGCCAAGTTTTATCTCTACTGAAGAGTAAGGAATAAGCTTGAAATTGTGAGGCAAAGCAGACCTATACAAATATCTGAGACACTGCGCCCCACTGCCTGTTTAGCAGGAATCTGATGCCACAGCTACATGAAAATTCAATGCAACGCTGAAAGTCACCACAGACACTATGTTGGCTGGCACATCTGCATTTGCACGGTGGTTACCCATTGAACAAGTGATTTAAAACCCCATCTTCACGGCCAATTTAGACCACCACGTGCTAGAAGTCAGCCTTTCTTCCCAAGGCCACTCATTTCTCTAAGCATTATTTCTAGCACAAGGGGGAACACTGCGTACACAAGGGCACAATGAATCAGACCGTGGTCCCAAAACCAGGGTTTGTGTACAGTGATCTTGGAGCTACGTGGTGAGAAGATGAATGTCACAATATAGAGTCAGATCTTCCTCAAATGCCATCCTCCACATCCTTATGAAAAAAACATGGTAAAATTCAAATCGACTCTCATTGCACAGCAAGAGGTTTATCAACCACTGTGACGTTAAATGTAACAGGCTATTTTTCTTCTGTGTTGAGAAAAGCTTGACATGAAATTATTCAAATATGAACAGACTCCACAACAGGTGTTTTTTTGGTCAATCATTTAAGAAAAAGCTTTAAATATGTCAGTTTTATGAATACATATGTATAACCTCAGACACTTCATGGATTTTCTACCTTGGTTTCTTCACCTGCAAAAGAAAGCTATCAGGCTTATCTGGGTTTTATTCACAAGTGTTTATACAACTCTGGTTGCAAGGTGCTACCAATATACAAAGCAGTAATATTTGCTTACCTACAGTTACTGCAGCTACAACTGGAGAAACGATGACAGATAGGGTTACACCACCTGCTATGGCCAAATTTCGCTTGTGCTTGGAAATGTCTTTGCCTTCGTATCGATTGTGAATCTTGAGAGAAGAAAAGAAAGGGTTTTTAGAGTATTATAATAGTCAATAATACATTGTAGCAACAACAGAACTGGCATGGTTTGGAACCTGTATCCCCCTCTCTTCCATACAGACCATGTTCTATGTTGTGATTTATTTCTTAGCCTATCTCAAAGAACAAGAAAATTCATACTTGTCTTAATTTTACGCAGCTGTCTTAAAAGTCCTCCAATCCAGCAACTAAACATTTACTTTCAGCCTCAAGCTAAGAGAGCTAAAACACTGAACAGCTTTTTTTGTTTATTTGTTGAATCATTACTCTACCTTACATGGTTGGGAAAAGTCAACAGTTTTCTGGATCAAAGAACTGCCGCCCCTAAGCCAACTGACCCTTCTTATTCCCTGTCACCTTTCCCTTGACCAACACAGAGTGAAATTCTCACAGATCAGATCTGTGGGAACACAGCTTGAAAGAACATCACAAAAATCTTGTAGTAAGGCAGCCTTCACCAAACATAACCTGGAGGGAAGAGCAGCAAGGACTCCATTGCTCTGGCACCTTCTCACGATGAGCTGTCGAGGTAGGGAATATTTAGCAGAGCTGAGTCTTAGCACTGCTATTATTTACTGGAGGATCTGCTAACCAAAACCCTTCCTGATGGTTCAAGTCTTCCCTTCTGAAGTGTGACCATCTCAAATTTACCTGCAGCAAATGTATCTGCAACCACACAAATCTGAAAGGCCTTCAAAGATCACTTTCACAGAGATTTCCTACTTTTTTTATTTTATTCAGCCCTCTAGAAACATGGCTTTTTAGCCATATGTGCTTCATTTGTCAGCATTCTTGGTTAAGAGGTAATTAATTACAAATGAACAACAGGTCACTATCTTAATGGCTGTCCTGAGGGCTACGTTAATCCTCAGTACATCTAAGGAAGAACACAGAAGAAGAAGAAGAGGATAATCACAGTATTTTTGTACTGATATGCTACTGCAAGAAGAATGACAACGTTAAGTTGAACTGGAAGTTTTATTACACGTGCTCTCTGTAATTTCCATTTGAGGTTTGGTAGGGTAGTTCTCATTCTGGAATAAAGTAAGAATTTGTTCAGGGAAGGCAGGCAAGGAAAAAGAGAAGACATTTCTATACAATGAGAAAGCGTGTGCTTGCTCTGAGAGAACAGCATGGAATGAATGAGGGGGGCACTCAAGTGTGGAACAAACCTGGAAAGCCTGCAGGTACAGATTAAAAGGAAAAATTGAACATGAATGCCATCACAGTATGAGTGTGTAGGAATTAGAAGATCAGGTTTTATGGGTCTCTGTGAGAAGTTCAGCAGGATCAGCTCAGGCACTGAATTTTATTGGTATGGGCAACTTTAACTACCCAAAACAAAAGAAGTATGAAAAAAACACCAATGGGTTCTGGATTCCTTAAACACAAAGCAACAAAAAGGAACAGAAGGGATGGTTACAGAGGGGAAACTGATTAAAAACATGAAGACAGAGCGTTAATAATGGCAATAACAGAATTCTGAATTCTCAGGAAAGAAGAAATACCTAAATAAGAACACTGGGCCACAGAATGGATTTCTATCACAGCAGAAAACTGGTACATTACCAGATGTGTATCTATGAAAACAAGTGAGAATAACGAGTGCTTCCTTAAGGAAACTATAGAAATACAAGCACGAACTCTCCCAGTGCAGAAGAAAATGTTGCAAAGGAACAAAGTAGCCTCCTTTACTGAAGGAACAGCAGCATTAAAAAAAAAAGGAAAGTAGGTCAGATTACTTTCAACAAGTACAAAGGAACAGCATGAGGGTGTCAAGACAAAGTCAGAAAGGTTGAAACAGAGGAACTAAAAGAGCAAGGGCCAAAGCTAACAAGAAATTATTCTCAAAGTACACTGCTTGTAAGAGGAAGACCAAAATAGATCGCTTTGCTATTTAACAAACATGAAGAGCTAGCAGACTAAATTGGAGGCCTTTTTTTTTTTCCCTTCAGATGTCACTGAAGATTACCTGTGAGACAGGTGATTAGTGACAAGGAGTAAGATCTGTAGGAAAACAGCACATTAGAGCATACTTGCATGAGCTGATCTGAAAAATATCTTATCAGGCCCAATGTCAAAGTCACTAAGAATAGTTTTAGAAATTTATTATTCAGAAACGTTTGAGGAAAAGAAAAGGAAAACAAAATGTTAAACTGCAGTGATAATCTTTAAAAAGGTGCAAAACAAGTACCCAGGGGGTTGAAGACCAATGAACTGAACTTCGGTTTCCTGAAAACCAGCCAACTTATAGACACCAAAGCAAAAACAGAAAATAAAAAGGCCATGTTGATATGTCTAGTAGAAAACAAATCAGTTTTGTTTTCCTCAGCAAGAGGATGACTGGCCTTGAGGACAGGGCGAAGCAGATGCCACACACAGACTTGAAAATTTTGAAGCTTTTTTATATGATGTTTTTTATAATGGGCCAGACTGAAAAAAAAAAAGTCTAAAGAAAAGAACTATTAGCTTCATGTAAAGCTGACAGAAAAATGTCAGATTTGTCATTAGGCTGTGGTGTTTTTGTTTTTAACTCCCCAAATTGAAACTCTTTCTCCTGTTCTTCCTAACAAGAGATGTGCTGTGAAGCCAAGAATATTTTCACCATTTTCATTAGCGTGGAAGATGGAAGGAGGGAAGAATTCCTATTGTCCTCTTTCAGGACAATACCAATCTATCAGGGCTACAAGACCGCCAGAACTCAGACTGGTCTTGAGAAATTGAAAAAATGCCCTGGAACAGTTGCATGCAGCACAATGGGAGTAGGTACAGTGTCCCTTAGGAGGAGAGCAATTGCTTGAAGTACCAGTACTGTGAAAAAGGGTGCAGGTTTTGGAATACAGGAACTCAGAATAGCACCCTGCTGAGAAAGAGTCAACAGGTATTTGTATGAAGAGAGTCACCCTTTCATTTAACTGAGCAGAAGTAAAGCTCAGCGTCACTGCTGTACTCTGAGTGGACAACACCAAAGTGTTGTCCCCATTTTTAAAAAGGGGAAAAAGAAAACCTGAGGAACTCCAGGCCAGTCAGTCTCACTTCTGTGCCTGGCCAGATCAGGGAGCAGATCCTCCTGGAAACTCCGCTAAGGCACATGGAAGACAAGGTAAACGACTGCTGACAGCCTTTTTTCTAGTTTTGCCTTCCTTCTCTCTAAATACTGTTTAGTTCTAGTGAACACAATGGAAACCAGAGGTTAAATATGGCAATTTTGAAAAGCATACAAGAACTCTCATGGTAAAATACAGAAATTCTTTTTCAGCATTTTGTTCTGCCTATTGTTAAGACTAACTACATCCCTAAAAACACCTTTCTCCTGTGCAACTGACATCAACCTTTTCCTAAATAATTTGTCCTCCCTCCCCCCCCCCCCCCCCCCCCAAAAAAAAAAAAAAAAAAAAGGCTAGTGAGTGGTGAGGACAGCCAGCTGAACATAGCATTTTACCTTCCGTCCCACATACACGGGAATTCCAATAATCATAGCAGGAATAGCAATGCCAGCTATTAATGCAATTCCTACAGGAGCTCCAACAAGCGTCCCGAGTTGCCACAGTATTTTCTTCTTACGGCTCCATGGTTTCTTTCCCCAAAATGTGCAACCTGAGGGGCTAAGAGAAAAGTAGGAAAACCGTAAAGAAATTGCAAGTAAACTGACATAACTACGCAGTACTAAACTTTACAAAAGTTTAAGTTACAAAATTATTAAGTTTATTATTTTATTATAAAATTATTTTATTATAAAATTATTAAGTTTAAGTTCCAAAATTATTGTTCTTAGGTTAAACTTACAGACACCAAATTATTAGCTATTTCTTCAGATTTCTAGCAGTGGCTTTAGAGAACATTTTGAAATGTAGAGAAGCACATTGCATACTACCACGTGCTAATCTGTGGTTCACAGGTAACACAATATAACCAGAGTTCTTGTGTTACTTTATGTAAACACGGTTCAGCAGTATTAAGATGTCAGTAAAAACAGTGGTTATGTCCATCTAAAACACTTCATTTGTTGTACAAAGTACACATTGCACGCATGAAAAATATTTTATAATAAAACAACAATGTACTAATTTAAGTACTTGCATTGAAAACCAACTTAATTCTCAGACATAGATGCTTCAACTTTGATTCTCTACTCCAACAGGAAGAAAGTCAGACTAATAGCAATCATCGACTTCTACATACTTTAAAAAATAAGTTACCAACCATACAGATCTTTTTTTCTTGGATGTACCTTAAATAGTGTAAATCTGAGATCTCTTTCATACATAGCCAGCAGAACTCACAGCCACAGACAGCACAAGTCATATGATTGCAGCTTCCATCGTTCATTTTTATTATATAAGCAGCACAGCGTGGGCATGGCTTTATGTCATCAGCTGTTTAAAAACGAATATTAAGATTGCATCAGTTCTTTAAGCACACAGATTAAATCAAAATACAGACAGATATTTGGGAAAGTTGACTGAACCATCATCTGAAAAATGGAAAAAGTTTATTGTTAAGTTTGCAAAATCACAATTCGTAAAGCAATTACTTCTCTGATAGCTTTTTGTAAACCCATGGACGAAGTGATACTGATCAAAACAAGGTGTATTAGAACACATTCAAGTAACTGAATAGTTAATCCACACTGTTCAAGGATTTTCTAAGCTTAATGCAATATATATTGGAGTTGGACATTAAATTTGTATGTTAATACAGGACTGACAGCACACTCTCTCTAAATATAATCTTTTTTTTTTTTTTTTGACATTTCATGCTGTTATGAATATTTTGCTTGAATACTGTCTCCCCTTCTACATTTCTTTGGCATCACCACTCTCTTCTTGATTTCTCTTCACCGAAGAGAAATACTTATTGCCTAGGGGGAAAAAAAAAACTGTTGTAGAAATAAGAAAATTCCAGAGGCTCTCCTTGTTCCTAAGACAAATATTTAAAAATTGTAGTCAAGCAGCTAGCTCTATCACTAGCAAACAAGGGGGCATTGCGCAACAGTGAAATACTTGTGTGCTGACACCATCACAGTTGTGATCTTCGTTCCTTTACATCACTGGTTAGCATGAGCACTCTGAGCCAAGCTATTTATACGCAGCAGCTGAAGTTAACTAGCTCCTCGTGCAGAAGTTCCGGTCTCCTACCTTTGTGCTACTGGTGGGGATAAAAGGAATAGAGGGATGCAGCTTATACCTGGTGTAAGGAACATCCAAAGAGGTGAGGAACTGGCAGAAATCAACTCTACTAACTCCAGTGCAGCTGGACAGTGAGCAGCTGGAAGGATGCACTAGCTATTCCCAGATGGGAAGAGACACAACTAAACTGAGCTTGGATGTGGCACAGCTACCGGTGTTCAAGCTAGCAGGGACTGAAAGGGAAAGGAAAGGAGATGGCATACTAATTTATTTCAAGTTTAGTGTTCAAATGAATTTTAAAATAGAGCAAGATGCCAATTTAAGGCAAAACTGGTGCGCCTTGTTTAAAACAAGCCAGCACAAACAAGAAATTAAAGACTCCCAAGGCTAAGGCTGGATTGGAGAATGACAGCTCTAACTATGTTCAAGTTGCAAGAAGCTCTTTCCCCAAAATATGTACTTTGTTTGGTCAGCCAGACAAAAGCTGCCAAATAGATCAGAGTGTGGTGAAACATGAGGTCAAATCTCATCCACAGCAAACTGGACTCTCACTCTGCAACATACTGCTCTAAAGAGCTTATCTCTCCCCCACCCCCCTTTTTTTCCTCTAAGTTATGAAGAAGTCAAAATTTTCAGAAGCTGGAATTTCTTTGTTTCTGATAGCCAAGAAAAATGAGCGTTTTATTGAAAAACAGAAACTAGGTAACTCCCTGTGAACAGGGAGTAGCCTTCTCACAAGGAAAAAAAACAAAAACATAGATGTCAAACAGCAGAGCTGGCCTCAGCCTAACAGTCTCTTCTGGAAGTAGAAAAATAGCATCGTGGGGTTTTCTTTTAACAGCATTTATTAGTAGTATAGCCTTGTGGAATTTCACCTACAGCATAGAAAATGCATGTTGCCAGAGTGCAAGGGATGGAGCTCATGGAGTCGGTCTGTCAGACGCAGAGAATGCTTTGCACCAAGCTCCTTAGAGCTCCCATTTTTCAGCTACAAAGAATTTAAAATGCTGACATGCCTCTAAGGTCAAAGTCTGGTGCTCTGGTCACAGAGCACTTCAAATATTAACATCAAAAATTTGAATCCAAACCTAAAATGGCATATTTTATGTTTCTGAAACACGAAGGAGTTAGTAGCTACCAAGCTACCATTCAGCTCTTTCCTTTCCCATGTTTATTGTGCAAACGTAGCAGAAAGGTATTTTACAGGCCCAGTATCCTGACCATAAATACCTGCCGCTCCAGATTCCTGGCTGTAGCTGATAGACGAGGAACGAATTGTTCTCAGGCGCAGACTTTGAGCTCTCTCCTGGCGAGCGGCATCGCAGGTCTGGTTCGGGTGCCAAATCTGCTTACAGTGATAGCAGAACTCAGTCCCGCAGCCTTCTCGTCCACATGTAAGTTTGGGACAGCTGGCGCATCCAAACGCGATCACGGCGTATCTTGAATTATCAAGGGGGGCACAAGAGAAAATTTTGTTAATAAAATAAAGTTTTAGTTATAGACTAAAGCTAAAAAGAGCTACCAGAGCAGGTGAAGCAGCTACGAAGGCAGCAGGGATCAGGAGGTGACATTATGTGGCCAGCACAAATTCCTTACCACCTTCATCTTCCTTGTTAAAATATCAAAACAGAGAAATTATAATGTAAGGATTCAGCTTGCTAAATTAACTTCAGTTCATACCCACTGTTTTATTTTCAATTATTTTATGCAATAGCTTTATTTTCAATAGAAAACATTACTATGCCCACTGCTATGAACACTTAAAGCATGAATGAAGTTTTTATCCATATGAACAGCCTCCCTGTACAGACTTCAGCAGATCTGTAAGTACAGCAGGGCTGAAGTTTGGGGCTGTTCAAATGAAAGTAGCTTTATTTTAAGAGTATATTGTTAATTTTCAATATACACCGTGCCATTTATAGTAGTTGCATAAAATTCTTGTAAAATATTCAGTAATGATGCTAAAATATTTCCACACAGATGTTTAGCTGAAACTTAGCTATTTTAATGTTAGAGTTGATGGATCTGAAGCTCCGTAAAGCTAATGTGGTATCATTTTGTTAATGTTTTAAACCAGCACGTTGGAGGTTGCTCCTCTTTAAGAGTTGTGCAAAACGAGCAGGAGTTTTCAACCTTTCAGTTCCAGATGATGTAGCTACACCCAATTACACCTGCTTGCCTGTTTTCAAACAATTTCCTTCCCGAGCAAAAACTCGTTTCGGCAACTGCTGGAATCTTTGATACGGTTGCCAAGTTAATCAGCTCAATTTGCCTCACTTAGAGAGACCGAAGAGCTAATTACCCTGCATGTACACAAAGTGGCTCCGGTCCAAACGCTTCCTCAGCACTAAGGGGCACATCCATGATTCCTTCGTGTTGTATCAAAGCAGCTCAGGCTCAGGCTGCTGAGTGAAGTCCCAATTCATCTGCTTCCTCCCACAGCTAGCAGGGGATGGGCACGTCCCTGAAATCACTCCCTGGGGGGGACTGATGTATTGGCAGACCTCTGGAAGTAAGCTTTTAGACCAAGGCAAGCGTTTGGTCAAACTGTACAAGACTACAGGTGTAGTCTGAATGCTCTGCATTGATTTTAGGCTGTGTGAATGCTCAAAGTTCTTGTTAGGCTGAGAGAAGGGACAAATAACTGAACTCAGGGTAACAGCGAGTTAAAAAAAAAAAGGACAACTCATTGCAGAAATGATGTATGGAGGGAGCAGAACAGGAACAAAAAATGCATACTCTTTTCCCCGATCTACGTTTTGCTTGACAGAGATAAAAATCTGAGAACTGCAGCTCTCTTCTAATAATGTCAGCAATAAAATCCCAGCGCAAAAACCCCTAAATAATTCAGGCAGAATAGAGGACGGACCACTTTCGGAATACTGATTCATCAAGCCTTATAAAAACGACATTTGACAACTCAAAATGGCGAAACAGAACCCTCAAAAAATTTGTCTGGAAGAAAGCCCAAGAGGTTTCCTTATCCCCAACTATTTGCCAATGTCCCCTAGCAAGCTATTGCAGGTAGGCTGCAGCTGGTCCAGAGATTTTTACCTAAACTAGCCTAATTTACCTAGTTTTACCCTAATCCAGCTTCCCTCCTTTCCCTCCCCACAGCCAGTATCGTGCCAGATGTTTCATCAGTGCACTGTCATATGGCATCCACTTGGTTCGTTTTCTTACCTACTTGTGCAGTAAATGATCCCTACTGAAATGCTCAGCTTTAGCAAAGGATGCTACCCTGTTCCCTGCACCTGAAGCTCTTGCACCTCTCCTGCTTTGGGATTAATCACAAATTTAGTAAACGCAAGCCCTCCAGCTTCTTCAGGAGAATTTCTATGCATCCTAAACTCAGGTGAGCTATGACCTGCCAGTAATACACACCGAAAACTGATCAGAAAAGAAAGAAGCCCTCAATTTTCACTGGATATCGTGCAAGCTGAGTACAGCTGCCAAAGCCATTAGCAAAGTGTGGCTCCTGTTGCACCCCATCACTGGTAAAGCAGCCATCTGCTGAAGTCTGTGCCTGCTGTATGGGGCACGGGGTCTTCAAACAACCTTTGCTAGCATAAGCTACTCTCTTCTGCTCAAGTACTGTGTGCTTTTTCCACAAAACTTAGTGGATTAAAGTGGATCGATGCACTAAAACCTGAATCCCACGTCAAGCATTTCCCTGCCGTGAGGGTTTCCAAAGGTACAGACAAAAATGAGAAAACTGAGGTGCACCAAAAAGTAAAAATTGTCCATTAAACAAACCTGTGCCTTTCTTTTCCAGCACTTAGACTGAATCACTGCAACATGGTTTAACAGAAAACGTGACCATGTTCTCATATACTCCTACACACCTTGAGTAACATCAGGTTGTTCAAGAACACCAAAACTCAGGGAATCCCAAGCAAAGCGACCAAAGGCTTATCCAACAATGCTTTCCATGGATTGCTTTCACTAGTAGCAAAGCTCTGCTGATTTCATCCACATGACTTTGTTACAAACTCATGCAACCAATCCTTCTCTCAAGTCATTCTTCCTCCTCTGCTCAAACTAACCACAGCAGTGCCATCCTTTTCAGACCAGAGGACCCAAGAAGCTGTCATCTTACCAGTCCCTTCTTTTGATCCACATTAGCAAATTATATTTCATTTAAAGTATGAAAGAAAAATTGTATTTCATCTAAAATGTTTCTTAATACACTGTTTAAATTTGAAAAACCTCTTAAGTATTAAATATTCTGATAGTAATGTTCGGGTTGCTTAATCTACCTAATTGCCTGTTCTATTTAACTTGTACTCTTCAAACATTCCTCCTTTTTATCTCTCCTTACTGTTCTTCTGTACCCAAAAATAGAGATATTCTCCAAGAGTTTTTACCGTGCGCTGCACATCTGGATTGCAGTCATGGCTACAACCTTTAGGCATTGTAGTAATGCAAAATAAAACCTCTAAAAAAACAGCTTGCTGAAAAAAGCGGCATTATGAGCCACCAACGGGAGAAAAGCGTGATGAGCCGCGCTGTAGTATTCAGCCTACTCATGTCAGAATGATTTCAGAGCTGTTTAAATATTAAAGCAACGTTAAAACACTACGTTCTTCAGATAATAAGCAGGAACAAACTGATTATTATCTTACATCAGAACTCTGTTGACAGGCAACAAGTGGTGTGTCAACCAGCCAGAAGATAGCTGAAACTGGAGACTTTTTGTAAGAAAATCTGCAAGCATATTTCATTGTTTATAAAAAAAAAAAAAAAGGTATCTGCTTTCTCTTCCATGAGAAGTCCAAATAAATGGACTAAGCTAAAAGTATAGTAAAGTAATTTTCAACTTTTTTTTATTTCTTGCTTTAACAGTGCAACATTTGAAGCTTTTCCCTGCAGCAGATACTTAGCAACCACCTACCAATAAATTTCATTAATTTACTGACATTCTCTCTGTGCAGAATAAGAAAATCCTACTTGAAGAAAAACGAGGTGGAAAGGTTTTTGCGTTTGCTTCTAATGAGAATTCTCTTTGCTACCCACTCGTACAACACAGAACAAAATACTGAAGCATTCAAAATACTGAAGTAAAGCGATTAACTTCTCAAAACACGCAGTGCTAGGCATGTTATCTGTTTATGCTGTCACTTCTTTTGCAGATATGGAAAAGAAAACCTACCCGCAATCTGGAGCTGGGCACCACCTACAATCGGGATCCGCAACAAGCCATCGCCTAAGCATGAACTCCTCGTATTTTTCCATCAGGATGTCATCATTTAATATCAAACGGATATCGTGAGGGTTAAATCGTTCTGAGCACTCTGGGCAGCTAATATTAACTCTACTCTCAGAGATTTCTATCCGGAGATACTGCCGCAAGCAATCCACACAGGATCTATGGTGACAAGTCATGATCTCCGGGAACCTGTCCTTGGAGTGCCGCAGAAGGCACAAGGGGCATTCCATGAAGTCTCCGCTTGGTTTGCTGCTAGAGGTTGTTCCATTATCGGAAGAGGTACACGTGGAGAAAATAGAGTTCTTGTCCGTACACATTTCTGAATGAATGCTTTCGATGCTCGCAATTCCATCGACGCCCCCATTTAAATCCCTAGACTTGCGTTTTGTGTCTTTTTTCCTCCGAAAAAGAGAGCCCAAGGAGATTCTTCTTTTCTTTGGTGCCTTTTTAACCGACGGCAAACTCACAGAAGAAGCAGAAGACTGGAGGTCCCGATCAGAGCCCATTTGCCGATGTAAACTCATGTCTAGATCACTCATCAAAAATGGGTTAAATTTCACGTACTACCCTACTCATTTTTAAGGATCAAAATAAGAGAGCCAGAGGACACATGCTTAAGTCATATTATTATGTAATCCAGTTTGAGAGTCTTCACGCAGAAAATTCACACATATCTTTGCCTGCAGCCAATTCTTCACAGGAATTCCCTGTATTAGGAGAAAAGAAGAAAAAATAGATTAGAATCACATCCATCACTTCGCGTTCTGAAACACCACAGCGCTCTAATGACCTGTTATTCCTATTACTACCATCTTCTTCTCATCATTTTAACCCGATATTTCTTTGCCTGCTTTTTTCTATCCATTACATCCTTCTCATCTTAACAAGTTCGAAACTGCCCCGGGGGCAAGGAACGTCTTCGTTGTGCTTAAGTGGCGCTGAGAACGACGACCTCACCCCCTGCTCCCTACGGATGTGTGCACAGGAACCACCGTAACCCAAGGTAACAAGTAAATGTATAACCAGCTCTTACACACAACACCCTAACAAGCTGAGAGCATTGGAAACTTTTGTTTCCTCTACGGTTTCCACACGTGATCAGATCATGGACCAAACCTATAGGGTTAGTTAGAAGAAACTAAGGAGTTCTCTGTGTGTTTTGAATTCATTTATACAACCAGCAGAAATGAAGTCACCGTGGCTAAACAACTCAGAGTATTCTCATATCCTAAGGGTTTGTAAAGCAATAAACAGATGCATATTTTTATATGTAAAGCACCTGAATATTTCAGAAAGCAGAGCTGGAAAGTGAGTGACAGGCAACGCTGCTTTGCCATTCCATCTCCGCACTGCAATCCAAGCAAAGACTAGAGTTAAGATGATGACATTTGAATTTTTCATGACATTTAAAAAAGTAAAGAGCAAAAACGTCGACCAAAAAACAGATTCCCATCACATACTAAGGTTGAATTGCTCTCTTTAAGGCAGAGGGGTTCCCTGTTGTTTCAATGAGTGGCTCAGAGGAGAAAGGAAGGTGTTCTCCCATTCTCCTCTGACAGAGACAGATACAAGCAGCACACCATCTCCAACCAAAAACACCAGGTTGCCCCAAACACACAAATATTCCCATTTTTTGCCAGCTTAATTGTACAAGAGGAATTCGTAGTCAACCACTCCTGTAACAGAAGAAGGAGAAGACATTTCTCACAAGACATCAGTGAAAACACCACCACAACCACCACCACCTCCTGCTTTTGTTTAAAAGACGTCTTATGTTTCATGTCAATAGATTTTTTTTTTAAAAGGAAAAATTAAAAAGACACTATATTCTGTTTTTTTCCTAGTGTTGAATTATTACTTTTTTTTTTTTCTTTTAAATGATGGAAAATCTTACCTCTGTGGAACACCATGCGAAAAGTCTTATTCCCAGGGTTTGTCTAAAATAAAGCCAATTTCAGGAACATATTCTTCCCTGCTGAGGGAACACTCTCAGCCTAAAACCTAGCCAAGCAGAATCCCAGAGTGGCTGAGGCTGGCAGAGAAATCTGGAGGCCAGATTTTCACCCGGTGCCACCCGTGGCCAAGCAGGGACACCCAGAGCAGGGTGCCCAGCACCACGTCCAGGCGGCTGCTGAAGGGCTCCAAGGAGGAGATCCCACAGCCTCTCTGGAAGGCTCCCTCCCAGAGGGAACATCTTGGATGCTTCACCTGCTTCTGTTCCCCCACAACACAATGCAGTGGTTTTACTAACACTGTTTCTCTTTCAGTGAGGTAAAACATTCCCTTATCTTTAAAAAAAAAAAAAAAAATTGCTCAATGATGCCAGAAGTGAATGTTCTTCTGTCTAGGATCTCGACATTGAATCATAGATATTGTTTGCAGTTGGTAGATAGCGTCTGAAATATATTACAGAAACACAAATCCTATAGCCTACAGCTGATGATAAATTCAGTTTGTAGGTCTAGAAGTGCAAAAATAACCTTAAAAGCATAATTATAACTACATACTTCGTAATATTTGCATATTCACACAGATGCTACCAGACTAGTGGAAAGCACCAGTCTTCTTCAGCCAGGAGAATCCACGAAGGAAGAGAAGTCAAAACATTTATTTCAAGCGTAAAGGTGTTTTTTTGTTTTAAATAAAACAAAATACGTGTAAAAAAAGAGGAAGTAAACGCAGAAACGCAGCCAAATCTATGACTATAAGCCTCCTCCTCCCTCTCTCTGGAGAGGAAAGAATGTGTATTACAACATTTCTGCCAGCTCCAGCAGATGTATGAAATCAAGAAATGGAAGCTGTGGTGATGATGAATCAGTCCTTTTTTTTTTTTTGTTAATAAACAAAGATTCTCCCATGCTCTTCTCCAGAAGCAGACGGCTAGGTCCTATAGCTCTCTCTGCGTAACACAATCTAAGAAGCAGCCTCTCAGAAGGAGCAGGCTGTCTTGAAATAACTGGCAGCTTTGCAAAGTCCTGACTGAATTTCCATCATTTTCTTTAAAAGAGCAATCATCAATTACCCTCCCCAGATTTAAGTGCACGACGCTGGTTTTAAAAGCCATTCCCTTCCTTATATAGCAATTCTGGATTGCCGTTTCACTGACGTTCAGAGATGACTTTGCTGAGAAGCCTTGGCAGATGATTTATGACAGACAGAAAGGGAAGACAAACCTTATAATGCTAATTCCGAGCAGAGCCGTAGGGAACCACAAAAGCCTGACGAGCGCCGTGTGGAGCCCTGGCCGATTCTCCTCCCGTTGCCCAACCTAACGCAGCATCTGCATGCTCGTGCTGCCAGGAGAAGGGAAGGATATTTCCTTCTGTACAGGGGGAGAACACAATGCCTGCATTATCCCAGGAACAATGAGCCCACACGACGGAGACACGCTGCGTGAAAAGTGAAGTGGTGAAATCAAAGGGCTTGAAAGGAGCTGCGGTACACGGTTATGAGCATCAATGGTCTGAGTTTGAGCTCCCTTTATTCCAAGCTCTCCACTCCTCCAGCCCAGCACAACCTCTGTCAACATACAGAAGCGACTAATGCAGGCAGCAGAAAAGGGATTAAAAAAAAAAAAAAAAAAGCCACACACGCAGCATCATTCCTAAAAATATAAGTTCACCGCTGTCCTCAACATTTCCTCAAAAGCACTTACAGACTACAGAAAAAAAAAACTTGGTTTTGGCTTCCTGCCATGCCTAAAACCCTACCACAAATCAGGATTCCTGCAGTTCCTCGCATTCTCCTCATGCCACAGGCTACCACAAGACACGAGTTACCACAGCACAAAACACCTTATAATTTGAACTTTTCCAAAAGCACAAATGACATTTATAGCCGTAGCTCCCAAAGCCCAGCACGTAATTGCTCCCTGTTCCTTCGGTAGTGTCTCCTAAACAGTTTGATGGAAAAATCTAACATCACTTACATCCAGTTCATTCCCTTTTGTAATTCTTTTTTTATCACACTCTCTTAAGTAAATGCTATTGCCGACCACATAACGCAGTGGCAGGGAAAGTAAATAAGACTTTGGAAATCTTGGAAAGGGAGAAGTTTTCAACTTCACGATAACAGGAAAATATCTTCTGGTATGGCTTTTTATAACATAACATTACGATCTCACCAATTTCAAAATTTTTTAAGAAATGCTCTAGGACAGCCAAGTACAACCCTACTGGTTTTGCAAGAAAGGAGCAATGAAGTACTACTCCCATAAGCTGATTTCTACAGAAAACATATCTGCTCGTGTTCCTAACTTTCCTTCCAACACAGAGGCACGAACGTAGCACATTGCCTGCTCTTACACCACACATGCACTCACAGGAGCAATAAATACAAGATTCTCAGCTACCAGTACAAGTAGTTTCACACACCTTTGCAAAATGAGGGCAGGCTTAAATATTCACGTATGAAAAAAGAAAAACAGCCTAAATGTAGATGCAACCACATCCTCACACTAGAACCCTTACTCGTCCCTTATGTCATTGACGCTTAAATTGCAAATTTTGGCTTTTCCTGTTGCAAATGATCACCCTTTCATCACAAGCATTTGTTCCTCCTGGTGATTTAGTCAAGCATCAACTCTGCATTGCTATACTGAAAGCAGTTCCTTGATTAAAACTGATTAATAACAGCTCCCTTTGACACCTGTAATTCCAAACACCTATGCTCTGTAGTTGTTTTGTGAGATGCGCTACTTCAACTTGAAGACAGCTGTAGCAAAAAAGCCCAGAGCTTGAAATTCATCCACTGACAATGCATCTACAGATCTGAAATCCACTTCTGCCTCCCCCTTCCAATGAGGATTTCTTGTTGTGATCGTACTGGAATTTCTAATTCATGACGTTCTTTATGCACAGATAAACATCTATAGGAGGTATCACAAAGGCATTTCATTTTGTTTACTCCATAACGTAAGAACTGTAAAAAATAAAATGGGATGATATGAAACATGCAAAAGCTTGAGATACTAAATTAAATGCCAATGAACAGGAATTTTAAACAACAATCGAGTTTATGGCTCCAATAGGCATTCTTTAAGCGTCACTTTGTTCCATAACAGTCTTTAAATTGGGGGAAAAAAGCACTTTTGTCTGAGGATTTCTAAAGAATATACCTCTACTGCCTTTAAACTTGGTTCACCTAGAAGTCTGGTATCATGAAGAGTTAAAACAATGAAGAACAGTTCAATGTGTTTCCCCTCAAAAACTGCATTTAAAAATAGCAACGTATTCACCATTTAATATTTACAAGACTAAAGGCATATTTAGGAGATCAGCCACCCTTGTCCTTGTGGGTGACTTCCACACAGCTGACAGAAACAGAGCCAGGAGATTCCTAAAACACCTTGATAGTAACTTCTTAGTACAGGTACTAAGGGAAAGGCACCCTCCTGGTACCTTTGTTCCTTCTCAACAGAGAGGATCTCATGGGGAAGTGGTGATCAGTGGGCATCTTGGCCCTAGTGACACAAAGAGTTTAAAGTCTTTGGTGATAGTAGGAAAACTGCCACCAAAATTTCAACCCTGGATATGAGGAGAGCAGACTTCAGGCTGCTAGGGGAAATAGTTGGTAGAGCCCCCTGAAAAGCTGCTTTTAAAGACACTGAGGTCCATCAGTGCTGGTCACTTCTGAAGTACCACTTCTTAAGAGCACAGGAGAAGGCAATTCCAAAACATCAAAGTCAAGCACACAGGGCAGAAGGCCA